CGGTTGGTCCGTCGAGTTCATCATTGATCTCCTACATTTAAAGAAAAAAAAAAGTTGGAACTTCCGATCACAAATGTTATCCGAGCTGGTCTATTCTATACTACACCGAATGAAATTTTACCTACATTTGATTTACACACAACTACACACTTACGTGTGTGTGTGTGTAAAATGTATATAGATCAGTACACGTGTATAGTACAATATAACCCGGTGAACAAACAATAATAACTTAGAGAATTAGAACACAAAAAATGAAGCTAAGTATTGGAATCTTAGTACCTTTGGATTGGGCGTGCAGAGATTGTGGAAGCATGTGAGATGAGAACTAATAAGCACATGAGAAAGAGTTTTGACATTGTTTACTAAGAAATAAAACTAGGAGTTGAAAAGAAAGAGTTAGGCAAGAAAATTAGTTGTCTTAGAAATATGGGGTGATGAAACCTTGATAATAAAAGGTTGGTAATAAATTTCAAGTGATGAAAAGTTGGTGGGATTCATGGCAATTTAGACCCATTGTTGCAAAAGCTGTTGGGCATTAAAATCTTGTTTTTATTTTAGATATATATATTTTTGGATCTTGGATTAGTAGGTAGGTTATAGGCTAAATATGCAAGGAAAATAATTCTCTTTATTGTGGTTTTATTATGTCCATGTATGCATAGTACGGCTAGTAGTCTGTGTAGCACGAAAACTTTAATTCTTAATGTATTTGTGTTTCAGATTCGGACACGTTTTGTGTCCGACACTCGAGGAGCATCTTATAAAACGTCATTTTGCAATTTTTGAAAAAGTTAGGAATATGTATGAATAGCAAATTTTTAAATATTTGTGTCGCTTCCCTTAATAATTACGTGATTTAATGATCAATTGCAACTTGATAGTTGATGTTTGGTTATTTTAATAAAAAATAATATATTTTATAATAATGGCATGACCATTTTTATGAGGTCATTTAGACCACTATTTTGAAACCTCCAAATCTATTATTTTCTTACATAAAACACCATAAATTTTTTTAATTCTATATTAATGAGAGGCTTTATATATGGTGGTCAAGTTTTTGTGCTATAAAATGGGGGACAAAGTGTTTTCTAAAGGAAAAGTGAGTTTACTAATATTTTCTTAACTCTCCATAATTTTCCTCCACATTATATAACAACATTTTGAGATTATGTTGTGTATCGGGTGAAAATTTCTAATTCACTCGAACGTGCAATTTTGGTGAAGTTACAGCGAAGAGATAGAATGGGCTGTTGTATCCCATAGGCGACACGATCGGAACCTTTTTGCACCTCATTAGAGAAGGGGTCGTGAAATTCGACTTAAGAGAGCGACCTAGTACGCGCCTCACCTTGCCTATCTACATATCATTATGAATCTTATTTGAAGCTAATCGTCAACTGTGTAAAGATGGTTTCAACAGTTGATAATAATATTTACTTTGAATATATTTGTGTGAAATTATATATAAATAAAAAACTGATATATGTTTATATAACATATTTATAAATATATCCATATACTTTTAATATTTATACATTTCCCCAAGTTCTTATATCTCCATTTTTGGATAATTTTGCAGTGTTCCGGTTTTGTATATAGGCGGTTAAAGCAGTTTGAAAACCGTTGATTCCGTCCGGTTCTGGTTCTAACCGGCCGGTCCGACCTGTTTCGAATAATAAGTTAATAAATAAATAAATATTTAAGACCACATAAATTGGGCTTTCCTTTATTCGGCCCAATAGATACACTTATATAGTCCAATATCTTGCTATATAAAATAAATTTATATTGGTCATAATTATTTTCTGTTAAAAATAATATATATTGGTGGGCTTTATTCCGTTTAGTAACCGTCACCGAACTGAAAAACCTCGTAGAAGTTGGTATCCAGTGTCGGTGATTCCATGGGGCCATCTGTGCTGACTCACTCCCAGCCGTCCACGTGGCGCTGCAGTGTGATTTGATGGTCCCACGCTTTGCCTTTCAGCGTGAGTTTTCTTCTGATTCTCCCAACAATTGGCAACTTCTTTTTCCAACATAAAGCAAATAAGCCCCTGCACTTTTCAGATACTACCAATATACCCCCAACATTTTCGGAGGGTTCACATTATTTTCCTTGTATGAGCACATCAGGCCTCGGACTGAGTTAGGTAGGTCGATTCTTGTATCAGCCCAATCTTTGTGGGTCTGTTGTTGGTTGACAACTGATTTTATTTTATTTTATTATTTTTTTTCTGAAATCGATTGATTAATGGGTATACTCGTCACTTAAAATACTTAAAACAAAAAATATTGAAATAAAAGTATGTACATTTTGCGTACCAGTTCACCATCGTCACTTGTCAATTCAAAATATAATCACAAAATTCAAAGTAATTCTAAACACGAACATTTCGCCATAATGTCACAATGTCATAATCAGTCATCAGTTCATAACAATCAAATAAACAAAATTTACTTCACAGTTTAAACTTCAGCATATTGCCAATATTAAAAAAAAATAGTAATAACTACACGCTTATTTAGCAATTAAAATAATATTCTAATAATTTTTTTACTAATATTGTTGGTTGACCGATAATTATCGATCAATAAACTTTTAATTACATTAGAAACTATCAATCGATCCATCATACATGAGTTTGTAGAACTTTTCAGTCCAATCCAATGGATTGGTTAAATATTTATTATCCGTCTAAAAATATAATCGAAAATGAATGAGTTGTGGGTAAAAATCAACTCAGTCTCAACCCTCAACACTAAAGCACATGATACTTATTTGCTTATATTAAAAGTATAGGGATTTACCTGCAAAACTGTTAAAAGCACAAGGGCATCAATTAATGTAGAACAAATATAAATATGCTAAAAAATTAATTTAGAAAAATAAAATATATATAAAAGATTAGTTACATTGTTGGCCACGATTTTCTGCAAGAGTGATGCTTAAACCACGTGATATGTTTCCGCCTTCCGGTGCCTTCTCCTTTTTTGTTACATTTTTCAATCTTCAATTACAAGATTAAAATAAAGGTATTCATTTTTTAAACTTCTTTTATTTTTTTGTGTTTACTTGAAATTTACTCTGCAATTATATTCACTAATAATAATAATAATTCATGTTGTTTTGAGTCTTTTGACCAATTCTTTTACGAACTTAATCTTTTAATTCAAATGACATTTTATATTTTACACTTGACCCCCTTTACTTTTAATATAGCACATGACGGCATGACCCCTTTGTATTTTAATGCAAGCACATAAACTCCAGGGCGGACCTAGGGGTTTTTTTTTTTACTAGTTTTAAGTGCATAAAATATAAACTTTGGGGAGTGAAAGTTCATAAACTAATAGACAAGTATCAAATTAAAATAATAAAAAAAATAAAAACAGCTATTTTATCAAGAATTTCATTTGCTTATTTATCAACTGGAATAACATATGAAAAGTATTACGTGGTCATGTACACAAAGTTGAAACTACAATGCGTTTATAATAAAAATACAAGGGGTTTTATATGCACAAAACTCAAATAATAGGGGTTTAACTGCTATTTACTTTTTTTTTTTTAATATGATCGATGCAGATCACGTATTTATTAGAATTATTTATAACTCCTTTCACTCCCACTATTTGTTTCCACTCTTCAGCTATTCCCAGTCCAAATAGAGCTGAAAAAATATTCTCTCTCCGCCACAAATACAATGCAGCTCCGCCTCTCCGCCGCCGCCGCAGCAGCGGTGGTGGTGATATCATCTCTCTCTCTTTTCCTCCTCCCGTCCACCGTCGACGCACACAACATTACCCGCATCCTCGCAAAGTACCCGGAACTCTCCACCTTCAACCACTACCTGACAGTGACGCAGCTCGCGCCGGAGATCAACCGCCGCGAGACGATAACCGTCTGCGCCGTCGACAACGGCGGGATGGGGGATCTGCTCTCGAAGCGCCTCACGATCGGCGCCATAAGAAACGTGCTCGAGCTCCACGTGCTCCTCGATTACTTCGACGCGAAGAAGCTCCACCAGATCACCGACGGCACCGCCCTCGCCGCCACCATGTTCCAGGCCACCGGCTCCGCCCCCGGATCTTCCGGCTTCGTCAACATCACCGAATTAAAAGGCGGAAAAGTCGGATTCTCCCCCGAGGAAAACGGAGGCGTGATTTCCGCGTATTTCGTGAAATCAATCGAAGCCATACCCTACAACATCTCCGTAATTCAGATCTCGACAATTTTGCCTTCTCCCGAAGCCGAGGCGCCGGCTCCCGAGCCGAGCCAGATGAATCTCACGGCTCTGATGTCGGCTCGCGGCTGCAAGGTGTTCGCCGAGGCGCTGCTGGCTAATCCGGCGGAGCAGACTTACGAGAGCAACCTCGAGAGCGGATTGACCGTATTCTGCCCCGGCGACGACGCGATGAAGAGCTTCATCCCCAAATTCAAAAACCTAACCGCCGCCGGCAAACAGTCGCTGCTCGAATACCACGCCACGCCGATTTATCAGACGCTCGCCGGCCTGAGATCCAACAACGGACTGACGAACACCCTGGCCACCGACGGCGACAAAAAGTACGACTTCACCGTGCAGAACGACGGCACCGGCGTCACGATCAAGACGAAAATCGTGACGGCGAAGATCGTCAAGACGTTGGTGGACGTCAATCCGCTGGCGATATACCAGCTGGATAAGGTTTTGATGCCGCCGGAGCTCTTCAAGGCGGCGGCGTCTCCGACTCCAGCCCCCGCTCCGGCTCCCGAAGCCAATGCCAAACCGCCGAAGAAGCACAAGTCGCCGCCGGCGCCGGATGCTCCGTCGGACTCTCCGGCAGATGCTCCCGACGGAGATGTGGCGGATCAGACCGCCAACGGCGCCGGAGCAGCAGCTAGATTCACTGGTGCTGTGATTTTGAGTCTGGGGTTTGTGTTTTTACAGCTGTAAGTTTATTTTGCTTGTTTGTATTTTTATTTATTTTTGCTTGGCCTTTATTTTTATTTTTATTTTTATTTTATTTTATTTATATTCATTAACTAATTAAAGGCGGGACAGCGGTAGTTATTAAATTAATTTCTGTTTCCATAGATGTTTTAAGACCCTTCTTTTAATTTATTTAATTACAATAGTGTATGTTGCTGATTTTTATTTAACTGAAAAGCAGGCATGTTTTCATGTAGTTTGTTTTGACACTTTCAGATTAATAATTGTATTTTTGTTATTTGTTTTAATGTTTGATAAATGTCTTCGAGCTTTAATAATATCGTTACGACTTCAAACGTGAAAGATATACATGAATCAATGGATACTGCCCACAACTTTGATGTATTGAGGTATCTAAAATTCAAAATGTGACTCATTCATGCATAGCTTTGTCACACGGCATCCAATCTAGCGGATTTAAGTTAGATTAGAAAGCTAACCCAAATAACTACAGTTTTTGTGTTTCGAATTTTGCCAAAATTAAAATAGAAATATGTCAAAATTAGATTCGAAGTCAAACAACATTAGTAAAATTGAAACCACATTTAACATTTCAGATATATATATATTAATTATAAGTAATGGTACCTTAAAGCACGAGTTTGAGGTGAGGAAGCTTCCTCCAAAAGCGTGGATTTGGCTTTTATGAATGTCACATGGCTTTGCAAATCTAAGCACATGCCTCTCATGCTACTATTCCTTTTTCGGTTTTTCCACAATAATAAATAATATTATTTCGGGTACAATGAAGGATTAGTTAATTACTTTCACTTTTGTAGCTGCTTAATTCCACTTTGCACTCTTCAAAAAAAATTAATTGGATTTTGTACCATCGAAACACAATAAATCATTCACACTGCACCCAAATTAAATATTACATACTTCCAACATAAATTCAAGTACCACAAAAAAAAAAAGAAAAAATCACAACGAGTTACTCAAGAGAACTATCATTTCTTACATAATTTTGAAAAAAAAAATATTTTTTCACTAAATTTTCTTACTGGCAACGGTCCTTCGTTGGAAAGTTTGGGAACAACTGAATAAGGAGGTAACGATTACTTAGCTTTTGGTGCAATCGTCGACAATTGTCTGAGTTTCGTTCAAGATTTCCATCTTTGTTCATTTGCTTTTATAAAGCAGTCGTGTAATAAACTAGCCCACGTTATTACTTGATATGCATAATTGAGCCAATCCAATGGGCCTACATTTCCTTTACCTATTGGGCCACGAACCCAATATTGAAGACAACTACCACCGAGGCCGAATCACCTTCAAGTAGGGTTTGGGCCCGACAATCCCAACTAAGGTATAAATAAATGTTTGAACTCATTCCTTAAGGTACGTCCTATTATCTGAACTATACCTCAACATGCATTCTCTGGACTATTTCCACTATCCGCACGTCTAACTTGAGCGTCGGAGGGGTTTCCGCCGGATCAACCCCGGCTTAGTTTACGTGTTATATGATTGCAGGTATCTCAAGGTCATCAAGCTCGTGAGCCAGTGATCCACTCTGCTCTTCCAGCTCATCCTACTTCAACTGTCTAAGGTGATCTATCTCTAGCATCATCATTGGTCATCTTTCATGTAACCCTTATTTGAAGGGTTCTGAACTTTCGTTTAAAACGGCGTCTATCGTCTAATAATATGTTTTGTTTCGTATAAAAAAAAATAGTATAAATTACCCTCTAAATTTGATGTACATGCAAACCCAATAATAAATAATAAATACACACCAAAATCAAATAACAAATGTTACGATTTGGATTAATTGCACACTTTAATCCACCAAAATAAATATATGGGCTTCGTCTATCAGCCCATCTTATATTAAATAATTTGGGCTCATATGCATATGACAATTTGTAACGGCTCCATGACATGTTATTCTTCACTCGCTTCTTATATATATATATATATATATATATATATATATATATATATATATATATATATATTTATTTTAATCAAAAAATCTTATTTCTTTTCTTTATTTTAATAAATAATGGGAACTTTAATCAACCTTTTATCACATGAATTTCAGTGCATTTTGAACAATTCTTTTCGATAAAATTCATGCATGTATTTTGTACTCCAATTTCCTAGGCTCCTAGCCTACTGGCTACTAATACCATTAATTAGAAAATAAATAAAATTGCATTATCCAGTGTACTAATTAGATATATCATTTATTATTGCATTAGATATATCATTGATTAATTATTAAAAAAAAAAGATATATTTATTTATTTTTTATTTTTTTATTATTATTTTTTTAATGCAGGAACCCGCAGCCAACCATATAGGTGCACTGGGTAAACCTACACTCTCGTATAATAGCTTGCAAACCATACGAGAGATGTAAACCACACTAGGCTAACCATGTGTGACAAGCTCGACCTAGCGACCGTTGGCAAGGGGATTCGAACTTGGGTCAATTGACCCAAGCTCTCTTGCTCCAACCGCTAGGCCACCCTTGCGGGTTATATTTATTTATTTGTACCTTAATATAGAGACATTGTACTAAAGGGATTCTTTGGGTAAGAATGTAATATCACGTGGTCAAATATTCCAACATGAATTGTCTATAGTACAACGGCTTCTTTTGATTTTTTCTGACATGGACCCATATTATATATACATATCTTTTTATTTAATATATTATTAATATAATATTAATTCTTCTAACTCCTATAAACTTTTTTTTTTTTACTATTTCTAAGTTCACACACTTGATGTAATACATATCAATAAATAAAAATAGAGATAATATATACCACACATTCTTTTCTTTTGGCTGATTCATTATCTAGATTATTCTTACAATGTTAGACCAAAATATCCTTAGACTCCATTTTGACTGGAGAGATTAACCATGATTAATTATTTAACTGGACTTTGTTTGATGTTTGTTATACTCAATAATTCACCAGTTCGACCCGAAAATATTATATTATCATGTTTTATCTTGCATTATTTTGCTTTTTAGGGAGCTTCTTTGTTGGACATTAGAGAGTCCGGTATAAAATAATTGGGTTTTAATTAAATTACTTAATTTTATCTTAGCTAATTCTATATTGACAACCAAACGAATTTATTAATTAATGCGGGAGACTCGGTGGCGAATTAATAAGAACATAATTGAGAAATATTTAACTAATGCAGTACTGGAAATTTAATGTGATAGATAATATCAAATTATCTTTTTTTTAATCAAAAAGGACATATATTAGGGAATTTAGGGGTTAATTTACAATATTTGTTAATCAACCAATATATATATATATATATATATATATATATATATATATATATATATATATATATATATATATATCATAAAAATAAATACTCATTATTTTTTATTTTATGAGAAACATAAATATCATTGAATTCCCGCATAAATAAGCACATAAACCAATAATAATTGTAAAATACTCTTCCTCCCACTTGAATTTAATCTACTCGAATTTATTTATTACTTTATTATATAAAACACAATAATGCAGTGCGAATACGGCGTCGTTTAATGGAGGGGGCCCCCCCAACCCCCAGCTCCCCTCCAAAATTCTCCTATATTACCGTTATAAATCATATTCTGTATTTTCCTTTTTTTAATATTTTTTTTTAATAATAAAATAATCCTGAATTATTTATCTTCTTCGATTACCCACCACGCGCCCATTCTTCTATAACCGTTTGAATCCCATTTTCCCACCCAAAGATTCCCACCCCCACCACCACCACCACCACCACCACCCACCACCGCATGACCTGCATCAGCTAGCACTAATCCCATGTAAAAATAAAAAATGAAAAAATTTTCCGGCGAAATTAATTACACGATGAACCCAAGAAAGCTTCTTGTTTTCTTAATATTTCCGATCATCTTCAACCTCGCCTCCGCCGCCACGGCGGCGGCGCACTCGCCGGAGAACGTGAACCTCGACTTCCCCTTCTTCACACTCCGCAACCTCACCCTCCTCGGCGACTCCTACCTCCGCGACGGCGTCGTGGGGCTCACGCGCCAGCTGGGCGTCCCTTCCTCCAGCTCCGGCGCCGCCATCTACAACAACCCGATCCCGTTCTTCGACCCGGAAACCAACACCACCGCCTCCTTCTCCACCAGATTCTCCTTCTCGATCGACAACGTCAATCCGACGTCGTTCGGCGACGGCCTCACCTTCTTCATCTCCCCCAACAACCAAACCCTAGGCAGCGCCGGCGGCTACCTCGGCCTGGTCAACTCCTCCCAGTTGACCAAGAACACCTTCGTCGCCGTCGAATTTGACACCCGACAAGACCTCCACTTTGACGACCCCGACGAAAACCACGTCGGTTTGGACATCGACAGCTTGATCTCGATCAAGACCGCCGATCCGATGCTCCGATCGATCAACCTCAAGAGCGGCAACGTGATTACTGCCTGGATCGATTACTCGAACGACAACCGCAAAACGGAGGTCTTCTTGAGCTACTCCACCTCCAAACCCGAAACCCCGATTTTGTCCGTCGATCTCGATTTATCCGATTACTTGAAAGAATTCATGTTCGTCGGCTTCTCCGCCTCCACCGAAGGCAGCACGGAGCTGCACTACATCGAGAATTGGAGCTTCCGTACACTAGGGTTCAGCCAGATAAGGCCGAGAATCAACCCCCACAACGTAACCGACACCACCGTCCCGCCGCTAAACCCGCCGCCGCAGATTCCGGTTTCCGATTCCAACAACCGCCGTCACAAATCCATCGGATTAGGCCTCGGGATCGGAATCCCGTCTTTCTTCTGCGTAGTTCTCGTAGTTTTCGGCTACGTCTCCGTCAAGAAATGGAAGGGTACCAAAACAGAGAAGATCTTGAAATCGGAGCTTATAACCGGGCCGAGGCAATTCGACTACAAAGAGCTCAAATTCGCCACGAGGGGTTTTCACCCCTCCCGTATATTAGGGCACGGAGCGTTCGGCACTGTCTACAAAGCCCTTTTCCCAGAAACGGGCACTATTTCCGCCGTCAAAAGATCGAAGCACAGCCACGAAAGTAAAACAGAGTTCTTATCCGAGTTATCGATCATAGCTTGTTTGAGGCACAAGAATTTGGTGCAGCTACAAGGGTGGTGCGTCGAGAAGGGCGAATTGTTGCTCGTTTACGAGTTTATGCCGAACGGGAGTCTTGATAATGTGCTATACGATTATATCGACAACGGCTATAACAATAACAATAACCCGTTGAAATGGGAGTACCGATATAATATCGCTATAGGGTTAGCTTCGGCATTGACCTACTTGCATCAAGAATGCGAGCAGCAAGTGATTCACCGAGACGTAAAAACGAGCAATATAATGCTCGACGGAAGCTACAACGCTCGGCTCGGCGATTTCGGATTGGCTAGGCTTATGGATCACGACAAGAGCCCGCTCTCAACTTTGACAGCTGGCACGATGGGATATCTCGCGCCGGAGTATTTGCAGTACGGTAAAGCGACGGAGAAAACGGATGTTTTTAGCTATGGCGTGGTTATATTGGAGCTGGTTTGCGGGAGGAGGCCGATCGAGAGGGAAGGGCAAAATGGGAAGATGGTGAATTTGGTGGATTGGGTGTGGGGGTTGTATTCGGAGGGGAATCTTGTCGGGGCGGCGGATGGGCGGATGAAGGGGGAGTTTGAGGAGGCGGGGCTGAGGAAAATGCTGCTTGTCGGGCTGAGCTGCGCGAATCCCGATAGTTCGGGGAGGCCGAATATGAGGAGGGTTTTGCAGATATTGAACGGGGAGGCGGAGGGTTTGGTTGTGCCGAGGAAGAAGCCGAGTTTGACTTTTTCGAATAGTCTACCGTTGAGTATCGATGACCTCGTTTCGGATTGCGGATCGCCCGACTCGCAACTGGAGATTAGGATTGATTGATTGAAGGTGTTTGTTTTGCTGCTGCTATAGATGATGATGATTTGATATTCTTTTAATTTTTTTGAGATTGTTTGATTGATTTTTGTTTGGTGTTACATTTGATTGTGATTTGGTGTACATTTGATTTTTGATTTTGGATTTCGGATGTTTGATTGATATAAACTAAATTAGTTGTTATTAAATAGAGAATATTACACTTTCAGCCCCTTAAATTTGCATCGATGACACATTTGGTCCATAATGTTTCTAACATTCAACACTTTTTAGTCTCCTATGTCAATTTTTCGTTAATACTAATGAAATCAAACATGTATCAACCACTGCCTTAACTTACCGAATAACTGTAAATTAACATAAATGACAAAAAAATGTTAAATTATTGAAACTTGAGGGACCAAATGTGAAATTAATGCAAACTTGAGGGGTGAATTGTTAAATTTATGAAATTAGAGGATTTATTTAATAATAAGTTATATTATTGCATTTTGTGCTGAAAAAATGCGAAAGTTACACTATTTATATTTTATTATTTTATATACATATAAATAGGGGTGGAAATTGGAACGAAAATTTCGATTTCCGCCGAATCCGAATTCCGAAATTCCGATTTCCGAAAATTCCGAAAAAAATCGGATCGGAATCGGAACTACATAACAGAATTTCGGAATTTCCGATTTCCAATCCGAAATTATTCCGATTATTTCCAATTATTTTCGATTATTTCCGATTTATTCCAATTTTTCTAATTATTATTAATATTTATTACTATGTATAATATATAGTATATATTATATACTATATGTCTATATCTATCCGCAGTCTGTACTAATTACTAGTAATATACTATTCATCAAAAAAATAATTACTAGTAATATATACTAGTATATTACTAATATTTTTTCCAATATATATATATATATATATATATATATATATATATATATTTGGACATATTATTATTTTTTAATTTTCTAAAATATACAAAAGTCAAAACTCAAAATTTTTTATTTTTTTTTCCATTTTTTTTTGGGAAAATTCCGAAAAAATCGGAATCGGAATCAATTTTTGAATTCCGAAAAAATCGGAATCGAAATTGGAAGGCGTTTTGGACTTCCGAAAAAAATCGGAAATTTTCCGAAACACCCAAATCCGATCCGATCCGTCCGATTTCCACCCCTACATATAAATTGTAGCATGTTATATATATCATTGAAATAATCTAAATTGTTTCTTAAAAAAAGAAGAAGGTAAATATCTAAATTGTTTTTTACAACGCGGGATAATAATAAAATATTTATTTCGTAAAAAAGAAGAAGAAAAAAAAAACACAATTACATATAAATTAGTAAATTTTAATTATCTTTTTTCCCCTAAAAAAATTGACCAAATTCCCGCCAAAATCAAAAGCTTTGACTGATTCCAACAACTAATGAAAGAAGTGTGCCACGTAGGACTAACCGATGCTCCCCACTTTTCCCACTCTTCAACTCCCACTCCTCTTCTGCTTCTATATATACACACACAAGCACACACTCATCGCCACCGAAAAAAAGAGTTAGAGAGAGAAAGAGAGAGAGAGAGAGAGAGAGAGAGAGAGAGAGATTTATTTGCAGTATAGAAAAAAGTGAGAGATATATTATTATTTATTAATTACAATGACTTCTTCTTCATCATCAGCTACCTCAAAGACCTTCAACAACATGCTCCTCTCCGCCCTTATCGCCGCCACCATGGCGGCGGTTCTGGTCTCCGGTTTCCAGTACCCAGTCGGGGAGAAGACGGGGTGGAAGAAACCCACCGGAAAAGAGACGGAGACGTACAACGAATGGGCCGCGAAGAACAGGTTCCACATCGGAGATACAGTCAGTAAGTCATTTCATCGAACACCTTACATGCATGGCTTTTCACACACACACACACACATTTTTATTGCGTGTTTTGATTTTTCTTGGAACAGATTTCAAGTACCAAAACGACTCCGTTTTGGTGGTGAGCCCCGTCGGTTACCTCACCTGCAACACCACGAACCCCATCTCGAGATTCGACGACGGCGACACCGTTTTCCAGTTCGACCGACCGGGTTTTTTCTACTTCATCAGTGGTGAACCGGGTCACTGCAAATCGGGTCAGAGGCTTATTGTTCGTGTGATGCATCCTTCTCAGGCGCCCGAAGTTTCGCCTTCTCCGGCTCCGTCTCCCACCGGCGGTTCCGGCCGCGATGGAGGCGGTGGTTCTGGGTCGCCGGGAGTTAGCGCCGCCGTGAAGGTGACGGTTGTTTCTTGCTTCGTGGCTGCTGTTGTCGGACTTTTCGTTGTCTATCTTTTCGTGTAGGAGTTTTTAGGATTAGTTTTGTTTTTATTTATTTATTATTATTATTATTATTATTTTATATTTATTTTCCTTAGGATGATTTAATTGTTGGTTGGATATTTTGCTTAGGACGATTTGTTATTTGTTTTCTTGAAAATTGTTTGGTTATTATTTATTTGATTAATGGCATTTATTTTATTTTAGATTTTATACCCACATGATTATTATTTCTATTACTTTTTTTATTTTTAAAAACACTTATATTCCATAAATCATATATTTATAATACAAAAAAATATTACAAAAATATATTTTTATTTCTTAACTTGACCTTAATCTCATGGGCTGTAATTTACCCCAATCTTTATAAGGGAAAAAAATGCAAACAATATATAATTTTTCTTCTAACGTAAAAAATACTAGAATTATTAATTAAAAAAAGCCAAAGAAATTAATAAATTAAAAAAAAATGAGAGAAATTATTTCATACAAGAATCTGAAAGAAGTTCATTTGGATAATAACTATCAACCTCAACAGCTAATTTGACCACTCCAGCTTTCGGATTACTCGCGACCACCTCGGCTTGCTCTGCAAATAACACTTGCGATAAACTCGAACCACAAATATCTTTATACATCTCGTAATTAGCAGCGCGAACAAACCCACCTTCCAAAATCTTCGACAAAGGATGCAAAATCGATACAGGGCTATTCTTCTCTCTCTCCAAACTATCCTTCAATTCAAGAAAATCGGAAACCAGTTCCTCTTTGCTGAACTGGACAAAGGCTGCAGTTTCGTCCAGGTGGCATATCGAAACAATCGAGCCCACACCAAAAACTTTACATACACAATCTCTAATATCTTTCGCCCTCAGCTTCGAAGGTGGGCCCCACAAAAGAACCGTATTCGAAAAGACGAATTTGGGATTCCTTCGTTTGGTGCTGGTGTTATTATTCGAACCTAAAGATTCCACGAGAATCTTTCCTGTTTTGAGGTCGATAATATCTTTGTTATTCCAGCTTAGGTATAAATGATTGATGTACTTTTGGAGTTTTTCATTTTGTGGCAAATTTAAGACCGAGTTGAAATCGATTCCTAGGTTACGACAGGATTGAGAAAAGACGGAGCCTGTCATGAAAGCATCGTATCCAGCTTCGTGTTTGGCTCCTGAGTTCCAATTTGAGAACCTGTACAGTATTTTACTTTGTTAGTTTACGAGAAGTTTCTAGAATAGACAATCCACATAGGCCTCGTTTGGTTGGTGGTGAGATAAGTTGTGATTAATTAAATAATTTGGTCTTATTCGACGTGGAAAAATGAGCTTCTCGTAAGATTACATAGTCTTATCTTGACTAATATTATCTTGCAAACCAAACGAGGCCATTGTGAAATAGGACGGATCGGATTGGAATTGGCACTTTTGAAAGAAAAAAAAAACGGAAGTAAAAAACTAATTCAGTCTCTTGAAAAAAAATAAAAAATGAAAAAGTCGGAATTTCAGAAATTGGAATGATAAAACTTGTTCCAAAATCGGTAACTTCGGATTGGAATCGGCGGAATTTGAAATTTCTATTGTTTTATTCACTTGTACTATAAAATATATAATAATATTTAATATTATAAGTAATTTTTTTGGAAATTAAAACCGGATCAGAAATTGGAATTTTAAATGTATTACAATTCTGTTAAAAGAATATGGAAAAATCGGAAATCAGAACTTTTGGAATTCGGAATGAAAAATATTGTTCCAAAATCAGAAATATTCGGGTTGAAAGTAACTGAGTTTCTTTGCCTTTAGAGATTACGCTCAATAGGTCTGAAGGAAATATTTGTATGAACAAATACTTATGTAAAACATTTTTTTTTTAATAAAAAACGAAAGGGATCTAATGTTGAATTATAGACAGTAATTAACCAACAAAAGAGTTGCACAGTATTATAACTAAAGATTTGACAGCAAAAATAAGAGCAAAGGAAAAACGAACCTCTGATCATCCACTTGAACTTCCACTTTAACACGTGGCTTACCCGCCACATCACTGCTTGTGCCACCTGGACCAATAGGTGGACAGAGTACGCCAAATGCTTTCGAAAGCGACGTACTGCCTTTCCTCATAAGAAGAAACAACTCATCATTTGAATTTATCAGTACTTTCGTATCGATAATGTTCGGGAAATATTTTCGAACAGCTGAGACAAATTCTTCAGCGGTCAAGGGAAGTGGACCGAAAAATTTGCTGTACACGTGTGCAAGATCTGAAGAAAGAAAGCAAAACTTTATAAGATGGCAAATAACTAAAAATATTCGAAACGAAACACGATATTTAATATATACTTGTGTTACCTAGAAAACAATTGTGACCGACAATTAATTTTTTCTCCGAGGAAAGCAGATCAATAACATGTCGAAACCCGATAGCAGATTTAATCTTCACTAATGAATCTTTCTTTTGACAAGCTTTTACCTCGCTCTGCACACACTCAAAGGTGAAACGAAAATTATATCTTATCGGAAAAAAAAATATAATAAAAAGTTCTCTATATATAGGTTTTGCAATTAGTCTCACCATAAGCAAATCCCTGTCCGATGTAGAGTCTGTATAGACGATCAATTTTTGTGCAACAGAATTTTCACCGGTCACGTGTACATAGGCAAGATCTTTGAAATCCTTTTCAGTAACCTGTATTTATACGGCAAAAAAACACTAGTATAATTCGAAAACTTCACATCACTAAGCATCGTAAAAAACTAAAAGTGAGAAGGGGTAAAATTGTAATTACCAACTTAATTAACCTCAGCTGACGGGAACTTAACCCGTTCAGTACAAGAGCAGGGCGCATTTGGAAGAAAGTAGTCTGAAAAGTTTGATTCATGGTATTCAAACTTCCTCGAAATCCGGATCCCGTATTTCCCTCGTGTAATAATCCAGCGCGCCATTCGCTGACTGTGTATTTCATTCTCTCGGTGAATAGAATATCTGCCATCCTAACCAACTGTGCGTCCGCGTCATTTCTTGAGTTAGACGATGAATATCCGGAATTGTCATTGTATAACGAATCTAACTGTCTCAGTGCTTCTTCCTCTTGGCTTCTGGACAAATAAGATATTCCTGAGATTATTTAAGAGTGTAAAATCTCCAAATCGAGGGAACATAAAACACCATCGACGGTGTTTAATCTTAAACAAACCGATAAAAGTGTCTAATCCTCTGGCATCGGTCTTCACATTACACTATTGGATACATTAACAGTTGATAATCAGATATAAATCACACGCGGGACCGGTGAAACATTTACATCGATATTAGTTTTATCAATAATTTATGTAAGTCCGTGCATACGAACATCCATTTAAAGAGCAAAAATCAAGAAACAATTTGATGGTATCTCAAGCTACGAAAACGGGCTCACAACCAAAGATGGTGTCTAAATGAGACAATTTATTTAACGATAAAATTCATCAATCGACGACTTATAAAAGTAGTATCGAGGATAAAAATTCACCTTCGTAAATGCATTTATTGAAATCGAATTGGTACTTGGCCAAAAATTCCAATGAGCTCGTCTGGCATAGGAATTCATTCGATAAGCCGTCGCCTGGAATTTCCTGCCGAGGAAATATGTAAAAATTGTGCCTGCAAAAACAGCAAAAACAGAGATTGATTAATTTCATGGAGCAATATCTAAAAGGCATAATTCAAGGGCGGGAAAAAAACACTAATCAAATTAATTTCTCTCTCTCAATTCCAATTCCAATTCCCTATCCAAAGCTGAATAGAAAGAGAAGAAATTCCACACACACACACACACACACACACACATACGGATGGGCGAGAAATGAGTGGCTGAGTGGGTCCCATCGGAAGGGGCAAACGCCGAACTGAACGACGGCGAATTTCTCGGCGGAATCCTTGATCTTCAAGTACTGGATGTCGGGTCGGTCGAAATCGAACGACTCTCTCCACGGAGCGCTGGTGACTCCCGTCATCTCCAAATCGATCGAAACGAAGTCGGCTTCTCTGACGTGTCGGCGCAGCTCGGCCAGAGCCGGCTCGAAGTTCGGCTTCGTCACATTCTTCAGCGCCGCGTCTGCGCCCGGCGGCGGAGAAGGTGCAGAAGAGCATAGACAACGGATGAATGGTGAGGTGGTCCGTGTTCGGATTCGGATCCGGGTTCGGGTTATGACCCGAACCAGCTGATTTGCTTTCATCCTCTGCGTTTGTTCATTTTAGGGCAAAACCCGGGTACGAATTGCGTAGAAGAAGTAGGTAGTACGAAAATTTGGTGCACCCAATACTTTGGGGCTTATTTTTCAAAAAAATAAATAATAATAATAATAATAATAATAATTGGGCCTAAAGAATTTGCTTCTGAACGGTGATGGGCCTAAACAATTTAGTATTTTACTAGCATTAGTATAAATAACCTCTATAAATTAATATCGGTATCAGCAAAATTCTATTTATTTAGAGAAATATTAAGGTGGTGTTTGCAAATGATTATTTAAAAGCATAAGTTAGTGATTGTGAATTGAGTCAGTTTTAAGTGCTTATTTCTAAAAGTCGGGGGTGTTTGCAAATATTCCGGAAAATGAACTTAAATAGAAAAAACAGGGTTATGGGTGCTTTTAAAAAAATAGCTTAAAGCAAATTATTTTAAGAGAAGCAAAAGCAAAAGTTGATTTTGCAAACACCTGAAAACAAATTATGAGCAAAAAAAGCTCATAATCACTTTCAAAAAGCATTTGCAAACACCACCTAAATTATCGAACTAATAATTTAATAAGTGTTTATCGAGTCGGGATCAAGAGAAATTATTATTTAAACAAGGTTATTAATTTATCGAGGTTCTACTGTATAATGAAATTGTTATTTTTCTGCCAATTTTTTATTTATTTTTAATAAATAACTAGTCAAGAAAATTGGCAATATTTTTTTTATAATTGAGTATGTTTTCATATACATCCCAACTTGTGGATAGAAAAAATGGGGATTAGGGTCAATTTTCCCTTGCTTGTAATGTTATTTATTTTGCAATTTGTACAAATGGTTTCATATTTGAAACTAATTAGGAAATTTGACGAATCGAGTTGAACTTATTTGAAGGTCTAGAATTCGAATTCGAATATTTTTTTTTATAAATTCGAAATCTATTTACGATATTATTTTAGATTGTACGTAAAATGTGTTATTTATTTCAGATAACCCTTCACTAAACGGGCATGAATTTTGTGTAATAAGTATTTGAATATTCAAAATCGAAGTTGCAAAATCAAAATCGTAGATCTACAATTTAAAATCACCAGATATATTTTCCAATCCTCTATTTGATAATTATACAAGAAAATTCATTTGAATATTCAATTTTTCATAAAAGAAAAATATATTAGATTTGCGTTCACATTTAATTTTTTAATTATACACTTGTCTAACAACTATGACGTGTGTTGTATACAGCTACGTCGATATACATATACATACAACCTATATATATATATACATATATATACATATTACTTACATCAAAGTCTAAAACCCATTTCTCTCTCTCTTTCTCTCTCTACTTTTCTTCTCTCTCTACATATCTCCTACAGCTCGAGTCAAGCTTTTAGCTGATAAAAATATCTTCTATTCCTGAACATTCATGTCGGTATGTAATCGAATTATACTCTGTTCTTCTTCGTTATTCACTCCGATTCGAATAGATTTGAGTTGAATTTAATATTTATTTTGCTGGCTATTTTTCAATTTTGTTTCGAATTTCATCTGTTTGTGGTTTGATCGATCGTTTGTTTCTCTGCTTTGAGCCGATGATTTTTTGTTGAAATTGATTAGGTTTGACTTTATGTTTATGTAAAATTGGTTATTTTATGTGGGTGATTGGGTGCTTGCTAGCTGTTCCGGACTGATTTTTTCTTCCTGATTAACTATTCAAGTTTTTTTGGTCATCTTGATTGTTTTTTTTTTCCCTAATTTTTGTTTTAACTCTGTGTGTTGTCGAAATCTGATTTGACTTTATGTATCGACTCGGTTATTTTACCCGTATATAGGCGTGGGAGGTCGAAAAGACCGATGAAACAGAAGTAAATGTTAGTTTAATGCGATGATATGCTTCACTGATGTATAAGCAAAGGAATCGATATACAGTCGTCTATGCAGAACGAAGTTTTAAGTTTGTTGTATTCGTTTGAATTATAACTGACCTGGATGAATTTGTTCCCAGAATGTGAAAGCTGTGCTGCACCATGATACATTAGAGCTAAATCGGGTCATAAAGATTGTCACAAACTTGTTCGATTTAAGCATTCATCATAAATTCGATATCGTGTTAACACTATGTTAATATCTATATAAAGAAAGGAAGACGAGCCCTCAGAATGCGTAGTATAGTTTCATGCATAGTGTAGTTAATTGGGTCGTAAAATTTGATGTTTTCAACTTTTGAATGGGCACAAAATTTCGTGTTTCACTTTTTTTCTTTATCAAACTACAAATAATATTTTTGTTCGGTTTGCATCTAGTCCAATCTTTCTTATCATGTTTCGGAAACACGCAGGTTGTTTTATTTCCCTCCGATTTTCGCCATTTTTTTTTGTTTCGGGCCATCTAATTTGAATTTTTATCTTCTTTGACAATTGATCAGAAACTCAGTGTGTGGTGCCTTCAGCATTTTCGTTTATCTTCTAATTTGGAATTCTAATGCCGTTTATTTGTACCTTTTACAGGAGAAGGGTCGGCCATTGCCAAAGTTCGGTGAATGGGATGTTAACGATCCAGCTTCAGCTGAAGGATTTACGGTAATATTTAACAAGGCAAGGAATGAGAAGAAGACAGGTGGCAAGCCAGATTCCCCGACTGGGGGTGTCTCAAATACACATTTTAGAGAGGAAACTTTAAAGCCACAGGGTGTAAGTTTCTTTTCCGTATATGTCGTTCATTTGAAATATTTTTTTATTCTTCTTTGCCCAAGTATAACGTTGCTCGATTATATTAGTATCTAACTTTAATCTGGGAAGACCTGTAAATTGCACGCTGTGTATGTGATTCTTTTTCTGTATCGTGTTTTTCACTCTGCTGTTTCTTTAAACGCCCCTTTTGATTATCTTGAATACATTTTGGGGTGGTTTTCAGGGTTTATATTTCGTTTACCTGATTCTTTTCTGACAGCATTTCGATGGACGAGGTCGAATAATTTATTGTTTGTTGATTTTCTATTGCAACAAATTACCAAACATAGACATGCTTCCTAAGTTTCCACGGCATTCTTATCATAAGACGATTAATCAAATCCCGACCATGTATGAACTGCACCCATTCGTTTTGATTTTTATCTCATTGAAAGTGAAATTTTTGTTGACTTGCAGAAAAAATGGTTTTGCTGCATGTGAGAAACGGAATCTTGACCGGGTTTATGTGTAAAATATACTTATACGGCATATAAAAACAGAGCAGAGGATGACTCTAATTCGGAGTTTGCAGGTTGTATGAGGCACCGCCCTCGTCTGTTTTTTGTGTGCTGTAGAAATTGCGTCGGTTTGGGTATTGGACAACTTTTTTCGTTTTACTATTAATTTATGTTGTATTTGTTTTTGTGGGTCAAGAATAAGCCAGGTTTACTATTGTTGCTTTTCGCTATCTTGTGTGATTTGTATGTAAAGCATTTGTGCCCCTCCTATTAATCACCATCTTTTACCGATTTATATTTTTCGGGTGAAACGTATTTATCGTCTACTGCATTTTGATCGAGACGATCTTCTGATTTGATTCATACTACACCTTGTGAATTTCACTCGATTTATATTCAATCATACATGCATGTATAGATTCATATATATTTACGCGTATCTACATGTTATCGCTAGGAATTTTTTTCTTCCGTGAAGGCTCCCTCGGCAATAACTACTATTCTGTGTTGTTTTTCGTTGACAATTGTTTCGTTCGTTTTCATTCGAGATAAACGGAACTTAAAATAGCATTGATTAGATGACGATACAGCTGAGTTTAAATGTGTAATTACCATTTAAAACTGCTTATTTCAAGAAAAACACACACACACACACACACACACACACAAGGTACAAAACTAATCCAAGAACAATTTCACCTTACATAAACACACAAACAAATCCATTTTCTTCAACTCCACATGAAAATTCTACACCAAAAAATACAAAGTACACAAAGAAAGAGCCAAGAAAACCGATTTAATCGTAACCGAACCATTCAACTTCCCTTTATCCCTTCTAAAAAACGCAGCATCGTACAAAGGCAAATTGATCAAAACCAAAACCCCGCATAAAAGAACCTGCAAACCCATATTCCGAAAAACGAGTTCGAATCCCCCTCTCCAAATCACTCTCACAGAAACTCCAATCAAGCAAAAAAGATTGACCATCGCCAAAAAAGTCAACACAGCAAACATCGGCGAAGAAATGTCGGCTCCAAATTCCATCCTCTCTTGCTCGTACCTCTCCATCACATCCTCGTTCGAGACTTTGGCAGATATTACGAATCCCGAATTTGAGTAACCTAAATAAGTCGACAACGTGTCGATAAATGCAAATAGATACGAGGTCGTTCTTTTGTAGAGCCACATTCTTTGCTCATTCCACCACCCGAGAACTGTTCCTCCCGAAAAGAGATATTCCGCAAAACTATACGCATGCTCCGCGAAAATTACGTAGGTAAATGGAATCAGCCACATGCTCGAGACCTGGAATTTTGTCACGTAAAAATTTAAGGCCTCGTTTGGTTGCTATAATAGGTTCAATACTCAATTACCCCAATAAGTTCAGATAAGAGCTTATAGAAGTAAAAGGAAAAGAAATGGATTGGCCCGAAATGTTAATATACCGGGGGTATTAGGGGTGGAAATTGGAAGGATCGGATCAAAATTATCACTTTCAGAAAAATATATATTTTTTATGGAAGTGAAAATAATTTTATTCCGTTCCAACAAAACTCGGAAATCAAAATTTTGAAAGTTGGAATTAAAAAAAAAAAATTGTTCACAGATTGGAAACTTTTGGATCAGAATTTGCGGAATTCGGAATTTTCAAAATGGCAGTAACTTTTAATATACAATACATATTAATATTCATATTATCAGTGTATTTTTTTTTCAAATGGAATTTTCGGAAATTAAAATTGGATCAAGAATCGGAATCTAATACGTATTACAATCCCGTTAAAAAAAAAAAAAAAAAAATCAAAACATCAGAAGTTTCAAATTTTGGAATGAAAAACATTGTTCAAAAATCGGAAAAATCGGGTCAGAATTGGCGGAATTCAGAAATTTCATTCCAATTTGCACCTCTAGTATGGACCAAACATCAAATACGATACAATTACGTATATAATCATAGCTCATTTTGCCAACCAAACGAGGGTTATATACTTATATATACATACGCCGATACGCGTACCTGTGGAAATAAGGGCACTCCTTTGAGTAGATAAACGGAAGGCACAATGGAGTAGTACAACGTTGCAAAGCAATTGATTGACCATAAGCAATACACACAATATCCCATTACGAGACCGATATTAATCTTCCCGAGTCCATTCGAAAATGGGCCGTATTTCGATAGGAAAATTTGCAGGTCTCCTTCGGACCATCTCTTGTGCATTACTAGTGTTTGATCGAGGGTGGTCCCGTTTACACCCAAGAATCCCTTTCTCTCGGGATTGTAGTAAACGGATTTCCACCCTCGGCATTGGATTGTTAGTCCCGTTATCACGTCTTCAACGGGGCACCCGTATTTCAAACCCGTCTGTGATTATGTATAAAAGAAACAATTTACAAATATGTATTTTGTTGTGTAGTAAAAGAGAATGTTTCTTGATGGAACGAGAAAAAGGATAATTTTAAACCTCGTTGCCCCATTGAGTGTTTTTCTCGAATGTGGAACTTGCTAGTTGCTTGATTCTTTCTTCCAATTCGACGGTAGTTTCTGCGGTAGTGGAAATAGTATTTTGTTTCCACTCGAAAGTGGATTCTTTAGTGAACTTTCTTCCACATAGAGTGTCCCTTCTATGAAAACAGCCCGTTCCGATATACATCGGGCCTCCATAACCGTCCAAACCATGAAATTCGACCTGCAACAAGAGAGAGAGAGAGAGAGAGAGAGAGAGAGAGAGTTATAGTATGTCGGGTGATGTCAGTATATTATATATAGTGATGTACTACTGCTCACATTACTGACTACTCGCATGGATCCTCCGTATAGTTCGTTCTTAGTAAGGTTATGAAAATTCTGAGGGAATTGAACGAAAGCTATCTCGTTGCCCTTCTCTTCATCCAAGAAGAAGCAGAGTGCGTCTCGAATCGACTGCGAATTGTTGGAATACATATCACAATCCACATTTAGAATCACCGCCCCATTGCTGATCTCCGACGACACTCTTATCTGCATAATTTCAAGAATTGCTTTATTTATTTATTTATTTATTTAAGTTTCGGTCCGACGCAACTTTATAATTTTCACGAAGTACTTACCAATGCATTCATAGCTCCTGCTTTGAAGTTGTGAAAATGCTGAGGCCGTTTCTCACGAGCCAAATACACCAAAGTCGGCAATCTACACCCTTCGATATCCTTAGCTTCTGGATCTCTTCCATCAATCAGTATCTGATCAATACGAAAACCGAAACACCAATATAGATATGTATCGATAAAACTGAGACAAATTTGATCATAAATGATGCTTTTAGAATTTAATCATCTCTACAAAAAATTAAGAATGCGGCTGTGTATGTATCAATGTACGTTCACGCACTTGCATTACGGTGTCGTGATCTTTTGGAGACACAAAAGAATCCCAACTCGAAAATCCTCGATGCTGCAAAAGTGCATCTTTGGAGACCCTCTTAAGTTTCTTTGCAAGTTCAATCCTATTCTCCATTTCTTGGTACAGTTTCTGCACAGGCAGATAAAAAAAACTTAATAAAAAATTAAGGAGAAAGAATTAAGGCAGTAAGCTATTGAGGTAGGATCATTCCAATTAGGGCAAATTACGGCCACCCCTGAGTTATGGTCAAATTACGAAAACCCCTCTTCTGTTTGGTAATTATAACCACCCATCAACTATGTATTATCTTACGAAAAAATTCCTTCAGAGGTAAATTTTAGGGATGTCAAATCGGTAAAACCGAACCGAAATTTCGGTACGACAACATTTCAAACTGTTTACCGAACTGAATATACGATTTGATTCGGTAAATAACCGAATTACAAAAAAATTATGTAAAAATATTTAAAAGGAGGGGTGACTGTAATTACCCAAGCAAGATGGTTTTTTTCATAATTTGGCCATACCTCAGGGGTGACCGTAATTTGCCCTTCCAATTACCTTGATAGAAGCCATATGTTTAGCCTGAGATGCTTCCAATTCGGAATATTCTGAGGAGCTAAAATACGCGTCCGGCGAGCGAGGCTCGATGTTAAACTTCTTGCAATAGGGTATCCAATGCTTAGCGAAACGGGATGCCTCCAGAAGGGCGTAGAACGTAATTTCGGAGCCGCCGTCGTCGGAGAGGTACACAGCCAGTTTCTCCGGCGGGTAAGAATACGCCATCACCGACAGGACGGTGTTGATCACCATCATCGGCGGCTCTATTACAGGATCGGCCGTGCAGACGAATACGTCCACACCTGGCAAATCATCCTCGTACCTGTAATTAAAACCAGCATCGAGAATTCCGATAACTAATATGGATACATAATCGAATAAAACAAGAAATCTTGGTTAATATTGATAAATGAAGATTGAAGAAGACCTTTGAGAGAGGCGGTCCTTGAAGGTTCGGCGATAAACCCGGTTCAGTCTGTGAGATTGGGTGAGGAACCAGTAGAAGGCGAACCATAGTTCGGCTCCGAACATGCCAATCCACACGATTCTTCGATTTTCGGGGATTTGAGTTGCTCTGTAAATTAAAATGGAAACAATTCCAACAGATAGTGAAGCTGAAAAGAGCTTGTAGATTGAACTCCCCTTTGCTTTCTTGGTTTCAAAGAGTGGAGCAGCAGCAAATGAATCCATTGCCATTGTTAACTGTAATCACTGTTGTTGTTTTTTTTCATTCAGGAATAACTACAAACAGATGGTGAGCAAAGAAAAGTTTGACAACTTTTTCGAGCAGCTGCAATGGAAGTATGAGGAATCTAAAATGTGGGTCCCATCGGCAGCTTAATTGGACTTCATTTTCAGCAGTTGAAGTCAAAAGATTAGGATCCATTTGAAAAATAAAATAAAATAAAATTGAAAATTGCGATTTCCAATCTTTAAAAGCAAGCTTTTCTTGCTGTTCTTGTTTTATTGCATGGGGCAACTGATTTTAATGAAATATTTTATGGCAATTATTGAGTGGGGCCCAAAGACGATAATTTGGGTGAACCTCATAATTTAAAAATAAACAAAGAAATGATTACGCCACCGATGATGTCATCATGCCACAGTTATGTTATAGTACTCCGATTCTTTGACACGTCATCCTCATAAAAGATATGCAACAAATGTTAGTAGAATTAAAATTTGCCAATTTTGCTAATTACAAGTTTACAACCTATACATATATTAATAGCCAAACCCCCAAAACTAGGGTTAAAACTACATGTGAAAATCGGATGAAGCGGGTCAGATTTGTCCCCTTGTACTTTGGCTCGACACCACTTTATCGTTTTCTACTTTTAATTGTATCGATTTGCCTCTTTATACTTTGGTTCGATATCACTTTATCCACTTCTACCCTCAATTGCATCGATTTACCCTCATTTAATTGAAAATTTCTCTCAATGTGGCCATCGCCGTTAGTTTTCACACCTCTGACCTTAACATTGATTGTTGATCTAAGTTTGAAAATTACAAAAAAATCATTCTTTTGTAGAATATCGATTGATCTAAGTTTGGAATTAACATCGAGGTCATTATTTTGTAGAGCCACATTCTTTGCTTATTCCACCGCCCTAGAATTGTACCTCCCGAAAAGAGATACTCCGCAAAACTATACGCATGCTCGGCAAAAATTACGTAGATAAATCTCGAGACCTGGAATTTTGTCACGTGAAATTGAAGGCCTCGTTTGGTTGCTATAATAGGTCCAAATAAGCAATTCCCAAATAAGTTATGATAAGAGTTTGTGAAAGTAAAAAAATTGGGTCGGCCCGAAATGTTAAAATACTCACTAGGGGTGGAAATTGGAAGGATCATATCGAAATTAGCCCTTTCGAAAAAAATCTAATTTCTTTTCGAAAGTGAAAAAATAATTCAACTCCGTTCCAACAAAATTCGGAAATTAGAATTTCAAAAGTGGAATAAAAAAATAGGTAAGAAGTCGAAAACTTTAGGATCAGAATGGACGAAATTCAGAATTTTTAGTCACTTTTAATATAAAATACATAGTAATATCTTTTATTTTTCACCTTTTTTTTCTCAAACGACTTTCATAATAAATCATATTTGCAGATCGATTATCAGAATCCTAATCCACTTCACCTTTTTTTTTTCTCAAACGACTTTCATAATAAATCATATTTGCAGATCGATTATCAGAATCCTAATCCACTTGGATAATTTTTCTTTTATTCAAGTTTTGCAATTTTTTATTTTTTCATTTTTAATTTTAATTGATTTTTTCAATGATAATTTTAAAACAAATCTCGGAAGATAACCGAAATTAGGTTTTTTCATTTTTAATTTTAATTGATTTTTTCAATGATAATTTTAAAACAAATCTCGGAAGATAACCGAAATTAGGGAAATTTGGGCTTTTTTGAGATGGGTATATAGAAGCAAGCCAAGCCCTAATTCAGAAGACCACTGCTAGGTAAATATCTTTAATGGCGCATTTTGTAAATTTTTTTATGATTCTATATATCCTGTCCGCTGGCGTTTTAACTATCTGATTTCGTACCATTTGTTCAACTAATGTTCGAAAAGCGCAAACCCTAGTACATTCTGCACACACAAGAGCCGTCAATCTGATTAATTTCGTACCCTTCGTTCAATTAGTGTTCTAAAAGCCCCAAACCCTAGTCTTATATTCCATTCAGCACACACAAGCGCCGCACCGTCAATCTGATTGATTTCGTACCCTTCGTTCAATTAGTATTCGAGAAGTGCAAACCCTAGTCTTAAAGTACATTCGGCACACACAAACGCCGACGACACTCAGCCGACGACACTCAATGGACGAGTGATGTCAACTCAGACTAACTAGTAGAAATTAAATAATTATACAATATAATCCAAAGTATGTAAATTAACTAAGATTAAAATAATAATACGAAAAAAAACATTTTTTGCCCTAAAACATAGGAATGAGACATGCTAATGAAGTTATTACAAGAGACTTGACCAAAACAGAGGAAGGTATACTCCCCTTATCCCTTCTCAACAAAAGGGCTTCATAAACCGGCAAATTCAACGAAACGATAATCCCACAAACAATCATTTGTCCCGTAAAAACTCCGATTAATCCATCAAACCCGAAAAAGGCGACATTCTTGAAAACCCCGTACACCAAACTCAATAAATTGACAATTGCAATAGTTGCAATAATCACATACATAACCGACGAGCTTCCGAACTCGATTATTTCATCCTCGTACCTTGTCCTTAAATCTTCGTCAGCCACTTTTCCGGTTAGTACGAATGATGTCTCGGAGAGGCCTAATTTTTTGTATATCGTATCTATCAAAGCGAAGAAGTAAGACGTCGTTCGCCTAATTAGCCACATTCTTTGTAAGTTCCACCATCCTTTGACCGTGCTGCCGGATATTAGATCTTCGATTAAGCTGCAAGCTGTTCTTGCTCCGAAAACGTACGCAAACGGTACGAACCACAAGCTAGACACCTGGAATAAATTATACACGATTATTAATATATTATTTAATAGTTTAATTTAAGTTAATTTAATTTGAATTAAACACTAAATTATATATATACCTTAGGGAACAAGGGCACATCATGTAGTAAACAAAGAGCCGGAACGAAAACATACGCCAAAATAGGCAACGAAAACGGGGCCCACAGAAGGTAAATACAATATCCCATTTGTGCCCCTAATTTTATCTTTCCGAAGCCGTGGATAAAGGGGCAATGCTCGGAAAAGAAAATCTGAAAAAGCCCTTCGGACCATCTCTTGAATTGGACAAGAGCTACGTCCAAGGTTGTTGGAGCAATGCCCAAAAACGCGTGTTTGGTCGGATTGTAATAAACGGGCTTCCATCCTCTGCATTGAATCGTTAATCCCGTTACAATGTCTTCGACCGGATATCCGTACACCAATCCCATCTGCATATGTCAACATCAAAATTACCGTTAAATTGTTTTGGAGTTTATTGCGTTTAGTACCCGTATATTATATCGAATTGCTAAAAAACCCCACTTCTTAAGGGGTAGTTTGCTAATAGGGGGTTTGTTGCTAATATTTATAACACGTGGAGTTTTTTAATAATTAGAGTAAATATAAGGGTGTTGAATGCAATAAACCTTAAAAAAAAGTAGTGTATAAAAATGCTCTTTCATTGAGTATAAAAATTACTTAGGCCTCGTTTGGTTTACCATGATAAGATTAACTAATTTAATTAACCATGGTTTATCTTACCAGCCAAACGAGGCCTAAGTAATACAGGCCTCGCTATGCGATAAAAATAACGAACCTCTTTTCCCCAAAGAGTATCCTTTTCGTAGCTACAATTCGCCAAAGTCTTTGAAGCTAACTCCAATTCTTCAACTGATCTAATCTTCTTCGTTTCTTTAACACTATTCGATTCGATTTTACGATCTTCGTACGAGAATTTCTTTCCCGACAAACTTTCCCTCCGATGAAAGCATCCAGTTCCAATAAACAGAGTTGCACCGAAACCGTCTAGACCAGCCAGCTCGATCTTTGTTAGAAACAAAAATAAAAATAAATATTATATTCCAATACTCGACCAAAATAACCTTGTAATAAACACGTCGACAAAAAAAGGAACATACTTGAAAAGTTGCGCGCGGTTCGTTTGCGTAGATATCGTTTTTCGTTATATTACTGAATCGCTGAGGGTACTGCACGTACGAAATCTGCTGCCCTTGATTCTCATCCAAGAAGAAGCACAACGCGTCTCGTATTGCATCCGGATCGTTCGAATACATATCACAGTCGAGATTCAGAATAATCGGCGCGTTGGTTATCTCCGACGACACTCTTATCTGCATAATTATTGCTTATTTAATATAAAACTTAAAAAAATAATAATAATAAGCAGAACATATAGAAAAAACCCGATTACCAATGCATTCATGGATCCGGCCTTAAAATTATGCTGCCACCCTCGTCGCTTTTCTCGAGATAAATACACGAGTGTCGGTAATCGATTTCCATCGACATCGAATATTCCTTGCGGGTCCCACCCGTTTATCAATATTTGAACAATGGAGTGATGGTCATTCTTTGTGATGTTCGAATTCCACTCTAAGAACCCTTTATGTTTGTCTTTAATTTCATCCGTAATGAAACCATTTGCCACCGATGAATCTATTCGACTCTTCATATCTTCATACAAATCCTAAAAAAATAAAACAAAAAAAAAATTCTAAACAAAATTTAAATCATTAAAAATTCTCAATAAATTGAACATACAATCACTCGGACAAGTAGATGTTACACCTGATTATTTACACTGCATGAATTTAAACCGTAAATTTGCACATAATCACACACACCCATATGTGTGCTTACTGGCTAGTTATGTAATCAAATTCACTCGATGCAAATATCTGGGTCTTATATAATTTTCATAATTTAACCTTGACAATAGTCCATTCATGCACGAAATCCGGTTCGTCGGAATCGATTTCTCGAGAGAAATAGACTCGTGGGGCCCGCGGCTCGACGTTGTGTTTCTTCACGAACGGAATCCAACGCTTGGCGAATTCGGAGGCTTCGACGAGCGCGTAGAACGTTAGTTCGGAGCACCCATCGTCGGAGAGGTAAATACCGAGTTTCTCGGGGGTATAATTGTACGACATTACGGATAAGATCGTGTCGATCACTAACAACGGTGGCTCTAATGTGGGGTCCGCCGTGCAGACGAAAACGTCGACAAGCGGCAACTCCTCCTCGTACCTGCAAACAATCACTCATCCATGTATAAACCAAAACCCAAAACCTAAACTAAAAACCGAAAACTGAAAACCAAAACCGAAAACCGGAAACCAAAACCGGAAAACCGGAAAACTGAAACCATGTGTGTGTGTGTGTTTTAATGGCGTCAAATTTGAGAATTAATTAACCTGTGAGAGAGTCGGTGTTTGAAGGGGGAGCGGTAGACGACTTTCAATCGAGCGGCCTGAGTGAAAATCCAGTACAGGCCGAACAGAACCTCGGCGGCGGAAATCGTAAGCCAGGTTGATTTTCCGGCGGCGGCGGCGGCGGAGGGGAAGTGGATGAATCTGTACAGCCATACAGAGATTATGCCGACAAATATTGTGAAGCAGAAAATTTTGTACGCACCTCTGCGTTTTGCTGTTCGTGTCTCGAACAGAGGAGGAAGAAGAACATCTTCTCTGTCATCATTTCTAGCCATTGTTTCTCTCTCTAGATTTCTCTCTCTCTCTCTAAAGTGTAAGTATATGTGTGTGTTCTTTGCTGACTTCTGTCTGGTATGCCTAACCACGTGTCATTTATCGACACAGCAATACTATCAAAGCTACCACTCAATACAATTTTTGTTTTTTTTTTCTGTTTATGGATAACTTATTTTATTTTATTTTTGTTTTGTTTTCTAATTTCGTTGCACACATATCTTTTTTCAATAATGAGTGGAAAAAGTGAAATAATCCACCAAATTGATGAAAATCGCTTTCAAATTAAATGAAATTATATATCTTCCAAATTCGACGAAATTTGTTCACCGTCCTTAATAATCACTATAATATAGAGTGGAAAAATGTCAAATGACATTTAAAACCTCAAATGACGAAATTGCCCTTTTGTTCTTCATAATTGTTGCAGTATAGGGTGAAAAAAGGTTGAATGACATTTAAAACATTAAAGCATGAAATTACCCTTCTAATTCAGCCAAATCCAACGAGTACTAGGCCGGAATACACATTTAAGGCAAAATCCATCGAGTTCTATATTTTAAAGGGACGGTTTTCTTTTTTAGAGCCAAAAAACTGGATTTTTTTTGGGGGCGTAGGTGCAATTTGCCCTAGTATATTTTTTCTACGGGATGTGATAATTGTCGTTCGAATTTTGATAATATCGTTTCGACTTTAAATGTGATTTTGATCCCCGCGGGGATAGCACGAACTCCACATTGGTATGATATTGTCCAGATTGGGCCGGGCCCAACTGGTTTTGCTCTTGGGTTTCCCCAAAAGGCCTCATACCAATGGAGTTACTATCCCCTCCTTATAAAGGATATATCTTTTCCCATATTTAACCGATGTGGGACATTGTTTGCACCTCAACAATCCTCCCCTCGAACAAAGTACCACACAGGTCGGATCACAAAGGACCACCGAGCCTCCCCTCAATTTGCGCCTGGGGCTCACACCATCTTTGTTTCAGAGCGCACCGAGCCTCGAACAAAGGAACACCGAGCCTCCCACCTGGAGCTCGTTGAGCCGCCGCCATTTGCGCACCGGGAGCTCACCATTTTTGTTCGGCACCGAGGATTCGGGAATTTCCACATAGATTCCGGCAATTCCACCACATGGTTAGGTCTGGGCCATGGCTCTGATACCACTGATAGTAAATAACGAAGATAATAATAATGAAAAACAAAGGGATGAAGGGAACTGCTGCAATATACTCTTAATACTTCAATGGAAATAGCCTTTATATAGGCATACACAAACATAAAATAAGGACCCACTAACCCACTTAATAATCCACTAAAACACTAACACCATGAACTAAATAACTGACCCACTAACATAATTTAAACTACCTACTAATACGTAATTAAATAAACTACTCACTAATACAGTAGCTAACATTCCCTCCCTTAAACTCAAAACTTTGAAGTTTTAGTTTAGCCACTTTCGTTTTCCAGATCTTTCATAGTACACACGCCCATCAGCTTCCTTAGATTTTGAAAGGGGAACAACCTTAGAGGTTTAGTAAAGATATCCGCGAGCTGCTCCTCGCTTCTGCAGAATTCCAGTTCAATTGTTCCATCACTGCAGAGATCTCTCAAATAATAATACTTCACTTCGATGTGCTTGCTTCTTCCATGTAGAACGGGATTCTTCGATAACTTGATCGCTGAATTGTTATCACAGAAAACTGTGGTAGCTTCTCCTTGCTTGAACTGAAGTACTTCAAGAATTCTTCTCAACCAAATAGCTTGACAAGCACAAGCTGTAGCAGCAACAAATTCAGCTTCGGTACTCGACAAAGTAACAATTGGCTGTTTTTTAGAAGACCACGAAACAGCCCCTGTACCCAACATAAAAATGTAACCCGAAGTGCTCTTCCTATCATCTTGATCTCCTGCATAATCGCTGTCAGTAAAACCAAGCAAATTCGACTTTGCACCTCTCTTGTAGAATAATCCAAACTCCTTGGTGCCTTGCAAGTAACGAAGAATTCTCTTGGCCGCTAACATATGCATCTTAGTTGGATTCTCCATGTATCTACTTATGAGGCTCACTGAGTACATAATATCCGGTCTTGTAGCAGTTAAATACATTAAACTGCCAACAATTTGCTTGTAAAGTGTGCTCTCCACCTTCTTTCCTTCACGATCTTTGTTTAGCTTCAAGCCAAACTCAATTGGAGTAGTCACGGGATTGCAATCCGTCATCCGAAACCTATCCAACATATCTCGCACATATTTCTTTTGAGATATAAAAACTCCACTATCACATTGCACCACCTCTATGCCAAGAAAATAATGCATCTTACCAAGATCAGACATTTCAAACTCATCCATCATAGATTTCTTGAATTCTTTAAACATGATATCACAATTTCCAGTAAATATGAGATCATCGACATACAAGCAGACAATGAGCATTTCACCTTTTTCTCCAACTTTAACAAATAAAATATGCTCGTAAGGACATTTTTGAAAACCAGCTTTTAGAAAATAAGCCTCAATGCGACTATACCAAGCTCGTCGAGCTTGTTTAAGTCCATAAAGAGCTTTTTTTAATCGATAGACTTTATGCTCATTATTAACCATAACATAACCAGGGGGTTGATCGACAAATACCTTCTCCTTCAAGTTTCCGTGCAAGAATGCCGATTTGACATCAAGCTGAAATATAGGCCAAGAATTATGCGCCGCTAATGCAATCACCATTCTGATCGTGTCATGCCTTGCAACTGGAGCAAACACCTCTGTGTAATCAACTCCATATTCTTGCTTGTATCCCTTAGCAACCAATCGCGCCTTATGCTTGTCCACCTCACCATTTTCTTTGAGCTTCGTCTTAAAAACCCATTTTACACCAATGGTTTTCTGCCCTTCTGGAAGATCAGTCAACTCCCACGTACCGTTTCTTTCGATAACTTCAATTTCGGCATCCATTGCTTGCTGCCATTTTGTTTCTTTGATGGCACTTTCAAAGGTTGTTGGATCACAATCTGCAAATAATGCAAAATGAGTAATTGCATCATCATCTGTATCAAATCCCGTTACCTCATAATCTTCCATCCATGCAGGCCTTCTCCGAATTCGCCGACGAGAATCGGCATTGGAACTACTCTCTTCTTCTGGCGAGATTTCAGCAGCTATAGGAGTATCGTTTCCTGAATTGTCGAGCATCGGTGATGTTTCTTCAACATCATTATCACATAGAACTTGAGTAGGTTGCTGCCTATCCCAATCCCAAGTCCTTTCTTCATCAAAGAGTACATCTCGGCTAGGGGTGGAAATCGGAACAAAATTTCCGATTTCCGCCGAATCCGATCCGAAAAATTCCGATTTTGGAAGGATTTTTTCAATTCCGAATTCCGAAATTCCAAATTCCGAAATTTCCGAAAAAAATCGGATCGGAATCGGAAATACATAACAGAATTTCGGAATTACCGAATTCCGATCCGAAATTATTTCCGATTATTTCCGATTATTTCCGAATATTTCCGATTATTATTATTAATATATATATATATATATATATATACACACACACACACTAAAAAGTAACACCGTACAAATATATTATTATTTATTACTTTATTTTCTAAACAATTAAAATGTAAAATCTAACCCTAATTGAATTAGCCTCGTTCTCATCTTCTCACCTCAATCCTCACGCCGCTCCCCACTATTTTCTCTGTTTTTTTATTTTCTCCCACCAACACCACCCTCGATTCTCCGTCAACCACCACCCGCTCTGCCTCTTCCTCTCCGCCGAGCACCAGCGCCGCCCTCTTCCTCTCCGCCGAGCACCAGCGCCGCCCTCTTCCTCTCCGTCGAGCACCAGCGCTGCCTCCGTCATTCTCTCCGCCTTGCACCGGCTACGCCGCCCTCGTTCTCTCCGCCGAGCACCAGCCCCAACGCCCTCGTTCTCTCCGCCACGCCGCTCTCGTTCTCTCGACGAGCACCAGCCCCGCCGCCCTTTATTCTGTTTTCATTTTTTTTCTTTTTTAAATCCGGATATTCCGAAAAAAATCCGAAAAAAATCCAAAAAAAATCCGAAAAATCCGAAAATGAATGATTCCGAAAAAATCCGATTTTCCGAAATTTCCGAAAAAATCGGAATCGGAATTGATTCTTGAATTCCGAAAAAATCGGAATCGGAATCGGAAGGCATTTTAGCCTTCCGAAAAAAATCGGAAATTTTCCGAAACACCCAAATCCGATCCAATCCGTCCGATTTCCACCCCTAATCTCGGCTGATTACAATCCCGTCGATCCCGTACGATGCCGGAACTCCGTCGCAGTGCTGGCGGCAGAGCTGCGACGCGGCCTGTTCGTCGAGCACTTCCTCCGCTTTCTCTTCTCCCACCACCACTTGTGGCGGCGGCGCAGCCTCCTTTCTTGTATCCATCAACACTCAACGAACGGTGGAGAATTTTTTTAGAGATTGTGTACTGTAGAACTTCGATTCTAGCTCCGTTGTGTGGAAATATATATTCGGATTCGGAGTTTTGAAGTTTGTCGGCGAATTCGGTGACACGTGTCGCGCATGCACTAACCCACGAAATTGATGATGCACCAGTTTTATTAAATGGGCCACCGCTTTTCCCGCTGGGCCCGATTAAGATATTTCGGGCCTACAAATATGAAACAAAGTGGATCACATGAGGCCCATCAATAGCTGACAATTCCCCATTTCAACATTATAGGCCGAGAAAATTCGATCATCAATTTCAAATTCCGTCGATTTCAATCTGTTTCGTTTTTAAATTTTTTTTCTTCTACAAAATATGGAAATTTTCGATTTTCGCCGTTGTGATCGCTTACCCAAATTTTGTTTTTGTTACTGAAATTTCGAAAGAAAAAAAATTCCAACTTAACTTCAAATTGCTTTGAAACGGATTTTGAATTGTTCTTTTATCTATACAATTTTTTTTTCCTTTTCGAAAGTGATAATTTTGATTCGATCACACGTACGTATAGAAAGTTAGTCGGCAGATATCAATTTTCAATAGCTAATCCAAAAAAAAAAAGAAAATCAATTATAATTTATATGGCCTAAGCAATCTTATCTTCATCAATAACACGTGCATGTGTATATGAAGTCTAACTGTCGAAATAATTGAATTTGTGTCGATTGATCCAAGTTCAAATTCTTTTGCCCACGATCAATAGATCAAGCTTTGTTACACATAGTTAGCCTAATGGTTTACGTATCTCTATCTGGTATTAGTGCAGATTCCTTATTATAAAAAAAGGGTAAATTACAAACACCCTCCTGAGGTATGGTCAAATTACAAAAACACCCCTCTTGTTTGGATAATTACAACCACCCCCTCAGCTCTTCAAATTTAGTGGAATCTTCGAGATTATATGAAATAGTATCACTTTTGTACCCGTTTTATACCATTCAAACTTTACATTATGAAGTAAGATGATCATAATATGTGATTTTTAGCTTGTGTATATCTGTTTGTAGTGCATCGGAAACTGTATTTTTACACAAAACGAATACAAACTAGAGCACATTATACGGAATCTAGATGATTATATTGAATTTGGCACAATAAGGGTGGAGGTGTAAGAAAAAATCATAGTTGAGGGGGGTATATGTAATTATCCAAACAATAGGGGTTTTTGTAATTTACCCTATAAAAAAATAAAATGAAATAGTAATAATTAAAATATAACAATATACTAGTTTATCTAGAATCTCGGTAATTGCCACTTGCTGACATGGCACTAGTCCTCTTTCCCCTCTCTGATTCTGCTTTTTTTACAGAGAATATATTATTCATAAAGAAAGGGTTAAAAAAATTCAAAATCCTCACCAACTTTACACAAACAAAATCCCCTTTTCATTTTCATGTTTTATCCTACTAAACGGCGGCGTTTAGCTTTTCGCAAACATGCTTTCGCCTTTTCTCGCCTTGTGATTTTTCCTTTCTTTCTCACCGGAGAAATTTTGTAAGGTGACTTTCTTCGGAGTTGCAGCAGAGCATTGGCCTTCATTCGCCGGTGGGTCAGTTAATTTTTTTTTTTTTTTTTTTGTGTGTATATTTCATAGTAGAGGCTTTTACTTTTTAGGAAGATTCTAGAAAGTTTTTTGGCGTCGGTAGAGAATTTTTTACTGTCTACTGAAGTTTTTACTGCTGCGCATAAACCCTTATTTGTCGAATTTTGGGTTTTTTTGATGATTTTGGGTTTCTGAATTTTAGAAGAAGTGTTTATGTGAACTCAGGTTCAAAATAACTGTTTCCAAGTGATATTCAGTACCAAGATTGTTTCAGAAGCGTAAATTTCAGGTAACATTTGGTATTTGGACTCAATTCATTTCGATTTCTTTTGGTTTATTTATTGTCATGTTATTATTATTGGTCAGATTGTGATATTTTTTGCTTTGTCGTCTCCGTTTGATGGTAATAAAATCGACTTTTGTGAAATAAACGACGAAATGCAGTGGGATTTGTCGCTCGTTCTTGTTTGATTGTATTCGTTTTTGTTGGCAAAATTTCACTGTTTAGTTAAAATAGATACGCCTCGTTAATTTATGTAACGGAAGAAATCGACTAGCATTCGGTATTCACTTTACCTGCACACGTATACAGAATTCCTTGAAAAACTTATTTCGATTTTATCCGATCAAATGCTAGTTGCATTTGGTTTAACTCTGAACCAATTCTCTAATTTTAATCAGGTGAGAAGTGAAAAAAAGAAATTATGGTTGCAAAAGATTATAACAAAATCAAATTATCGACCAAAGCCGAAGTGGGAGAAATCGATACCAGTGCACCGTTTCAATCTGTTAAAGATGCTGTCAATTTATTCGGTGAGGGTGCTTTTTCCGGTGAAAAGCCTCCCATTCGGAAAGCCAAACCACAATCTGCCGATGTATGTCGATTCGGGTTTTTTTTTTTTTCCCTTTTTGTAATAATATAAAAAAACAATGGTAATTTTTCTTTTTTCCTCTCAGAGAGTGCTGTCAAAAGAGACACAGCTTCACTTGGTCGAAAAAGAGTTGAATAGGTTGAAAGAACAGGTACAAAATGCCGAGACTACTAAAGCTCAGGCTCTCTTCGAGCTCGAAGAAGCTAAAACGACCGTTTGGGAACTCTCTCAGAAGCTCGAAAGTATAAACGAATCCAAGAATTCGGCTAAGCAATTCAGAGAAGTCAACAATTTCAATTCTACAGAAACCGAAGGACCTTCAAATCGAGCTGAATATACAGCTTTACTCACTGAACTTGATGCTGCAAGAAATGAGCTAAAGAGAATTCGCCGAGATTTTGAAGCCGCCAAACAGGGCATTGAAGCTGAGAAAGCTGTCGAAGAAAACATTGAAAATGTTGGTGAGTTATCGAAGGAGATTGCCACTGTAAACGGCTCTATTGAAGAGTTGAAGCTTACGAATAAACGAGCATTGGAAGAAGAAATTGTGATATGTGCTGACATGGACGAACAAAAGCAGTCATGTAAGAACAGGCTCGAAGAATTAGTGAAAAAGTTGCCCTTTTCGAAGAAAAATATTGATCATGGTGAACTCATCAAGAATCTCGAGAACGAACTGTGTGAAACATTGGCGGAGATTGAAGCTGCGAGGGCTAAAGAATCACTGCGTAAAGTCGAAGAAGAGGGTAACTCAGAGAGGCTTCTAATGGAATCTCTTAAAGTAGAACTGAATAACGTGAAAAACGAGCATTACGAATTGAAGGAGAAGGGAGCAGAAACTGAAACTATTGCAGGTAATCTCCATGTGAAGCTCAGAAAAGCTAAGTACGAACTCGAAGAAGCAATTGCGGAAGAAGCAAAATCGAGAGGTGCTTCGGACGAAATGGTTGCCACTATCCGCCAGCTGGCAATGGAGAGCCGTAGAGCCAAGCAAGAATCTGAGGAGATGAAAGGTCAAGTCGAAAAGCTGAATAAAGAAGCAGAAGCTGCAAGAATCGATCTTGAAGAAGCAGAAACGAAGCTGAAAGCTGCTGTACACGAAGCCGAAGAAGCGAAATCGTCAGAGGCTAAAGCCCTCGAAGAAATTCGGATGTTATCCGAGCAAATTAATGCCACACGTCTGGAAAGTGGGGCCCGGGTTGTTACTTTATCGAGGGAAGAGTTTGATTTGCTGAGCAGAAAAGCGGAAGAGTGCGAGAAGTTAGCTGAGATGAAAGTTTCGGCCTTAATGGCTGAGGTGGCGGCTGTAAAAGTTGGTGAAAACGAGGCGATGAGGCGATGGGAGTGTGCGAAGATGGAGATTGAGGATATGAGAGCTCGAAAAATGGAGGCGGTGAGGAAAGCTGAGATGGCGGAGGCGGCAAAGAAGGCGGTGGAGGGAGAGCTTAGGAGGTGGCGGGAGTGTGAAGAGAAGAAGGCGGGGGAGGTGGCGGCAGTGGCGGAGAAGCAGAAGCCGGTGGAAATGAAAAAGCTGGAAAAAGCTAAAACAAGTTCTTCTGTGGTTAAGAAAGTGATGACGTCACCTGGTTTGAGTAGTGTGTTTTATAGGAAGAAGAACCATGGTGAGGGTTTTGGTTCTTCTACTCAGTTGTCTGGTCAACGGTTTTCTTGGTCATAATGTAGTTAGCAGTGTATTAGTGGTTGACTTTTTGACTTGGGAAATATTGACTAATTGTTTAACAAAGTCAACCCCCTTAATCTTTGACTTCTACAAAGCAATATCAATAACCAATACATTATATATCATATTCATAATATAATAGCATCAGGAAAATGCATGAATTCTACCTCCACACAGTCTTGAAATTAAGTAAAGTAAGTATTAGCATTTAGCCCTTTAAGAAGAAGCTATTTACATTAATTAGCTGTATTAATATTTGTACCGATGATTTCAGTCTCCGTTTAATTTAACCTTTTCCAACGACTGGCAGATCCCGTTTTGATTACCGATTTTTTGGAACTCGGACTCTATAGCTTGAACGATTTTCGGGTCCACCGGGTCGTGTTCGGGAAAGTCTACGTGGAAAGATCCGTGCCTTAGGGGTGCGGTGGACCTCACCACAGCAGATTGCTCCTTCACGTAGCTGTACAGCTGCTGATGGAAAGGATGGTCCAACGAGAAACAGTCACTTGTAGCTCCGTTTATGGAATTACGTGACGAACCGGACCCTTCTCTTCGACAAAAATGTGGGAGAGATTCGTAATCCATAATCTGCATAAGCAAAATAAGAGTCATTTTAATACGGGCAAATTTTAGTTTGTGTAAATTACGAATATACCCCTGATGTAAGGTCGAATTACAAAATAACCCCTATTGATATTGAAGTTACAGTTCACCCGTTATAAATAGAAATCTTTAATACAAGGGAAAAATTGGAATTTTTTTAGGAATATTCTTGGAATCTAAAAAATTCTTTCATTATTGACGTTGCTACGAAAATTACAAATCACACCCTAATAAATAAAAGTCTTACAGTTACACCCCTGATAGTACAAGGGCAGAGTTGGAATTTCGGGAGGAATATTCTTGGAATATAAAAGATTCTTTTATTGTCGACGCCGCAAGGGGGAACTGTTTGACGATGCATACTTCAAGCGGGGTAAATGTAATTATGCAAACTAGAGGGGTGTTTTCGTAATTGGCCTTACCTTTCAGTTGTAATGTACCCATTTATTTACTATAAAAAAAAAAGGCATATGCAATACTCATTCCACTTGTGCAAGACCAAATTAAAGAAAGATTCCAAAAGATTCTATTTTATTAAGATGGAATGACAAGTATGCCCATAAATTAAATTGGCTTTTTTTTCTCATGTAAGACCAAATACAAATAATGAGAAAAAAAACAAAAATCGACATCAAGGTGTCGAAAAACTATGCTACAAATCAACACTTAAGCGTCGAATTTTATAGGTAAAAATCGACATTGACATGTCGAATTTATAGAACAAATTCAAATGTCGAATTTTATACCTCAAAATCGACATCTAAATGTCGAATTTTATGCCTCAAAATCGACATCTAAATGTCGATTTTTACCTGTAAAATTTGACCTGTACATGTCGAATTCGTTTGCGCGGGGGGGGGGGGTTTGGAAAATCGATATTCTAGCTAAAAAAACCCATAAATGCATACATTCTTGGGTTCTTCCATCGTAGAATCTTCTATTTTGATGTCTTCTGACTCCATACTTGCCATCTTTGTAAGATTTGTTGAGTTTTGATGATTTTGAATTTCTAGGTTTTGTGGGTTAATGGAGGAGGAAGGAGAAAGGTCTTGTGAGTTTTGGAAGATGGAGAAGATGATAGTTGGTCTTGTGGTTTTGTGGTCTTGTGATAGGGTTTTTTGTGTTTTTGAATTTTTGGTCTTGCATATTTGGAATTTTTTATTTTTTTAATAAATAAGGGTATTATAGTATTTATACATTGAAAATTTTAATTTGGTCTTGCACAAGTGGAATTAGTCTTACATATAGCCGCAGCAAAAAAAAAAATAGTTTTCGATACTTCATTAGCATAATACGGCATTACCTTCAATAATTCATCTCGTCCCGCGCCCGAAAGAACCTGTACTTTTTTCCTTGTCCTCTCTTGCAAAAGAGGTCTAACAACCTGGGGAAAAAGTACAAGTGTTAGAAAAATTATGAAAATGTTGACATAGGCCTCGTTTGGTTGGCAATTGTATTACGAAAATTTTGGTAAAAATGAGGTCTTATACTGGCTAATCCTATTATGGGTAGCCAAACGTGGCGATGGTGTATACAAAATCGAAAAGATTTTCCACGTGTAAAATGCCGAACCTTCCAACATGCTGAAAATATGTACGGAGTGTTGACTATGTAATAAGTCACCGTTCTCTCGGGATAGTTCAAGTCATCTATAGCCGATATTACAGACAACAGCTGCATCAAGAATTAGATAAAGATCAAATTTTTATGCATAAATAAATTAGTACGTAAATTTACAAAAACGAAAAAAATTACCTTGATTTGATTCAATGCGGAAATCTTGAGACCGGTCATATCAAGAATCTTTATGCACGTGCCGATGTAACGGCCGAATTTTTTTGTTACATTAGGCTATAATAACATCATGCGAAATATCGAAGTAAGTCTATATTATAAGATAAAAGCTATTGCAAATAAATAAATAAATAATCTTTTTTAATAGCACAATGCCGAAACTCACCATTATCACACGATCTCTATATTCGTTCAATTGAATGTGCGATTGAACATAGTAATGAATCTGAAAAAAAAAAACTATATTCGTTAAGTTTGAGGTATTTATAGCTTGTATGAAGAAGTACGAAATATATATATATCTTACCGATGCTTTGTCGAATGTGCTGCGCCCTGCACCAACCGCAATTACAGGAAGCCCCTATAAAAAATAATTTAAATAAGATCGGAATTCGGAATATTCCGTATAAATATCAAGAACGTATTTTTATTTTTTAATTAGTAAGACTTCTAAAAAGATCACCTCTTTCGAATATCCGGACAATCCAATAAGCTGAGAATCTCGTATTGCTCGACACAGATCACTAGGATTAATCGGCTTCTGCAGAATTGAACAAACCAAATTAAAAATGACAAAACGTTAAATCGAAAAATCTTGTATGCAGATTTTTCGAAACTTTAATTTATATAATACTTCACATTAGGAAATTCAAGCTAAAAAAAATTAAAATTAAAATAAAAATCGATTATCGAGAAGACCCACCGCAAGTATGTTGTCGATTTCATTTTGTATCCTCCAGTACAAACAGTCGATGAGCTGAATAATAAATAAATAAATAAATAAATAAATAAATGAATAAATGAAACCGAAAAAGGGAATATATAATAAACTCGAACGAACCATTTTATGTGCATTCGCAAGATTTCCGTCCCTTGCTTTGAGAAACCTAACCAAATTCTCTTTCGGGTACCCGTTATGCATGTTCTGTTAATTATTACCGAAATTGTAAGGTTTAATTTATTCGAATCGAACCAATAATAATTAATACGGTGAAAGAATGTACACTTTCGCGAAGCCGTTGCATGCTTAAGATATTTATTTTATCCGATTTCGATTTTGGATCCTCTTGAAATCAATATTCACTCGAAAAAAATGAGTTCTTTTAAACGAAATTCAGAATCCGGCAGTCTTTTAAGTTCAAAAAAATGATTTAGAAAATCGAGAAAGTGAAAATGTCGAGGATCGCGGTATAAAACACGAACGAACCATCAGTCGAAACCTTGAAACTAAAAAAAGATGCAAGAAAACTAAAAGTTACACTCAATTTTTTTTTTTCTTTCTTTTTCCTCATAGTTAAAACTCAAATCTTTGGTGTACAATTGGATCAAATTTCACACACACACACACACACAGAGGCAAATCAAAAATTAAATACCACAAAACAAAAGACCCAAAATCACAAAATCCAGAGAAAATAAAAAATAAAAAATGGAAGAACAGATAAAAAATTAGCTTCATAAAAAATCAATATTTACCACACACACACACACACACTTAAAATAAAGAAGGAATTAGCAGGAAAAAGGGCAAACCTGGCATGTTTTCTTGAGTGGTTCATCAGCTGTAATAAAACATCAAAAACATCATCAGACTGCAGATCCAACGATCAAGAAAATGGCACCCAAAAAAATTATAAAAAAAAAAAATCAAATGTGAGGAAATCAAATAAAAGAAATAATAAAAGCTAAACCTTTATCCATAAGGGTTTCAAACTGTCTAATCATTTCTTCTGTTATTACCACCATTTTGCTTCTTCTTCTTCTTTCCTTTTTTGCCCTTCAAACACACTCAACAATGGAGATTTTAAAACCCACCTCCACTTTGCTTAAGTAGTAACAAATGGGTGTTTTCCCAGGTGGGGTGGGTGGGGGTGGGGGTGGGGGTGTTCAGACAAGGTGTGTGTGTGTGTGTGTAAAAATCTGAGTTTAATACTAAGTTGAACTCAAGAACTCGTTAGAACAAGAATTACTGTTTATTAATATTACAGAAATTTTCAGTGGGATTCTTTTCTTGAATATATATATAGATACAGAATATTATTAGTAATTACATAAATTTCACCGACCATTAATGGACCATTAAATTTATTATTACAAATCTCGATCTATGGCAATAAAATCCATTTTAACTTTTAAATATTCACTACATGCATAGAGCAAATTAAATGATGATTTAGCGATTGAAACAAATGAATCTGTATCAATTGACTTATGTTCGAATCTCGTTTACAACAGTTATCAGGTGAAGTTTGTCGACAATTAACTCAGATTCGGACCCTATAATTTAGGGATTGATTGTACTTACCCCTAAATTAAAAAAAAATTATGCATGTAAATTTTAAAATTTAAAATTTAAAATCTTAATATAATAAGTAGCACATTAACATGTACATGTGCAATGTACTTTTCCTAAATTTAGCAAATCTTGAAAATAGACATGTGAAGAGAGAGAGAGAGAGAGAGAGAGAGAGTGAGGTAATCATATAGACCAAGACAAGAAAGTCAACATAATAAAGTCACACTTGGACACACAATAGGTATTACACGAGGGACTTTTTCGTAAGACATTACATAATTGAGGGAAGTGATTGTAATTACACAAACACAAGCAGGTTTTTCGTAATTTAACCATATCAGAATGGGTTGGACGTAATTTTTCCTTCAATTTATTATAGAATAGAACAATTCAAAAGAAGAAAAAAGACACAAAGTTAGGTGTCAAAAGCATGGTGTTTCAATCATGAAAAGATGTTATATATTCTCTTTACGCGTATTTAATTTGCATGCTACATCGTCCAAACTTAATTAAATTTATTTTAATTATTCCAATAATTAATAATTACCTCCATCGATTTAGGAGAATATTATCTTGAAAATCCACATGCTTTTGTCTCACCAATCTTAGACTAATGAACATTATTAGAATATATATACACATGCCACGTATCAAATATTAGCTTCAATCCAATTTCTTTTATTATACTACTAGGATTTTTTGTAGTCGTAGGTTTGATTATTATCAAATATTGCAAAGGTGTTCCTGTTTACTTATATTTATAAAAAAAATATATTTATGTTAAATTATTGATCGCAATTAAGATCATTGATTTTTTTTCTTTCAACTGCACATAGAGTATGACTAACTCAATAAGAAACGTACACATCAGCGGGGATAGCTCAGTTGGGAGAGCGTCAGACTGAAGATCTGAAGGTCGCGTGTTCGATCCACGCTCACCGCATATTATTAACCTTTTACATTTTTGTCCCTCAAATATCAAACCACAATATTTTTATTTCTTGTGTTTGTAATCGACATTTCAAATTTTTATTTGAAATTGATTTGCTAACACAACCGTGTTTGTTAGACCTCAAATAAATTTTAATTGAGCCGAGCACAAATCGAGTAGCTCGATTATATGTATATATCTATTTTATCCAGCTCGAGCTTGTGACAAACTTCATAACTTATCGAAGCTTGATTCGATATATTAACAAACCGAACCCAAATAGCTCGATTTTAAATTTTCAGCAAAAAAAATTAACAAATGCAGAAAGTAGGCTTGTAAATAATCAACAAATGAAAATACAACAAATTCTGCAACCTGTCCGAAAACAACATTCAAATACTACAACTACTAACCTCTCTCAGTACTCCAAAAAAGGATATAATAAATAAAAAAAATAAAAAGAAAACCACTAAAAGAAATCAAATTCAAGATAATTATCGGCATTTTTCCGAGTCGGCGAAACAGCCGGACCAGGAGCAATTTTCACACTCGCAGCAGCTGTTGCTGTAGGCGGAGGAGGAAGAGAAGTGGGTCCGGCAGAAAGTTTCTCGATCTCAACCGGTCTAGGTACTTCCGGTGGGCTCGCACACCTGATCAGAGCCCAATTAACCCCCTCGAAGAACGGGTGCTGCTTGATCTCCGTCGCCCCTCTTTTAAACCCGACCCTGTTCTGCGGCTCCTTCACCAGCAACCCTCTGACAAGATCCCTAGCGGCAAAGCTCACCACCGGCTGCTCCGGGAATCTCAAGGGCTGCCCCACCACATTGAAAAGCGTCGCCCGATTTCCGGACCCTTTAAACGGTGTTTTACCGAACAAGAGTTCGTATAGAAAAATCCCGTAAGTCCACCAATCCACCGCACTGCCATGCCCTTCTCCCTTAATTATCTCCGGTGCTAAATACTCGTGGGTCCCGACGAACGACATTGACCGGGCGTCGGTCGGCTCCGCCATTAGCTCCGGCAAGGGGTTGACTTGGTTGTTGACCGGTTCATTTTTCTTCGGAGGGGTATTTCGGTCTTTCTTGGATTTGCTTGATGAGAAGAGATTAAGACGGGGGCCGAAGCATGTTGTGGGTCCCGCCATGCAGGAGGGTGTGGTGGGGCCCGCCATGCAGGAGGGGGGTTTCACGCAGTAGGCGGTGTTTTGGTGGTCGGAGTTGGCGGTGGTGGTGGTGGAGGATTGGATGAGGGTAGGGCTGACGGAGCAGCGGAGGGAGAGGTCGAAATCGGAGAGCATGATGTGGCCGTCTTCACGAACGAGGACATTTTCGGGTTTTAGGTCACGGTATACTATTCCGAACATATGGAGGTACTCCATTGCAAGAAGGACCTCAGCTACGTAAAACCTGCATATAATTGACTTTTTAGAGAGAGAAAAATTATGTAATATGACTAAAGTACCCTTCCGATACTCGTTCCGTTTTTCTTTTAAAGTGATTTTTTTAGGAAGAAAACAAGGGATTTTGTATTGCGTTTTGTTCTACATTTTCGGTGAAGAAAAAATAAAATTATCGTCCGACTTCACCGACAATAATGACTCGTTAATGAAGTGAGAAATAGAAGATAAAACAAAAAAGCCACAAAGGGTAATTATGTCAAATAACAATTTGTGCCCGAAAAATTAAGACTAGTTAGTAGCTTTCTTAAATTGTGTGCATCTCACCTCAAACATCACTTCAAAAGAAACGGATGAAGTAATTCGTTGTCTATGAACTACTCTATCCATATCGGAACTAATGTTTGATAGAATTTACGAGCAACAAGGGCAAAACTGGAAAAAAGTAATCAATGAGGCATAGGAATATTTAAATAGTGATACATAATATCGAACGAGTTTGGACTATGCCTACTTCATTATTCTCTTTCAATTAAATCCGCAAATACCCATATAGCTCGATTTGAAGATACACAAACGAGAATATTAAAAAACCATCAAATCAAGAAAGAAAAGAAAAAAACATACTTGACAGCTTGTTCGGAGAAATACTTTCCGGGCTGCCTCTGCCTCAGCGTATGCAGATCTCCACCGGGACAAAACTCCATAACCAAACACGAGAATTTCTCCGTCTCGAAATGCGTGTACAACGTAGGCAAAAAAGGATGGTCCAACGACTGCAAAATCTCTCTTTCCGTTTGTGCCCTCATCAGCTTTTTCCTGCTAGCCAAAGAAGCCTTATCCATAACCTTCATAGCGAAATAACACTTCGTACCGCACAATTCCGATAAATAAACACTTCCAATATCTCCACACCCCAATTTCTTGAGCAATCTGAAATGCCTCAAATCCAACGGTCCGTCTTTTACGCGAACGGCCTGGATCGCTTCCCAATTTAAATCGTTCGCTTTGTGGGGTTTGTTGATTGTCGTGCTGAAGCTGCTGCACGTGCTTTCGTCGCTGATGTCGGTGCTCGTGCTGCCTCTACACAAGCTGCTCTTTCCACTCTCAAGAAATTCAACCTTGTCACTCATTTTCTTGGATTCGTTCAAATGCAGAGACGAATCGAATTTAGCAGGCAAGGAATTAACCGATTCTTTTTGTGGATGGTCGGGTAATTTCGTTTCGGCATTATCGTGGGATTTGTGACGATTCTTGGAGGAATTCTTGTTATGAAGTACCGAAGCCATTTAGTGCGGATATCGATAGTGTGGTTAGTTACTAATCGGAGAAAACCAAGAACACTAACGAATGTGTCTTAATTGAATATATGTCCCTTTTTGACTGGAATTGCATTTGCGCCTGCAGATTAGCGAAAAAGATTGAACACATAAATTAAAGAAAACAAAATAAATCGAGGAATGTGCGAAAATCGAGGGAAATAGGTCCAGATGCAGATCAAACTATAAAGCAGAAAAGGCAAACATTCAATTTGACCTAAAAATGCAATCTTTATTCAATTTGATCAAGAAAACAAGCGTTCAAAATCACCACCATATATATAGCAACAAAGGAGACTGGAAATTAAGGTATGGAAACAGAATGAAGAACCCTAAAACACAATACACTACCCATATTAAAAACATCAACACATTGTAAAAGCATATGCACTATTTCAGGATAAAAAAGCAGTCTTTGAACAAATAATAAATAAATTAATAAAAATTGGGTCCATGAAAAAAAAAAAAAAAAAAAGCACTCAGATCTTGAGCAATGACCCACTTCTAATTAATTAATTTAGTAAAAAAAAAAACTTACAATGCTGGAGAAGCAGAAGAACACTGCACCAGATCAAAAGTAAAGCCCACCACAAGAAACAGGGCAACCTGGAATTACAAAGATCAGAACTTTTTTAAGGGTGTTTTTTTTGGGATTTCTTTAGCAATTGGAGGAAACAGATGGAAAAGGAGGGTACTTAACTGTAGAGAGAGAGAGAGAGAGAGAGAGACAGAGAGAGCTCTTTCTCTTTGGAGTGTATGATACAGAAAAGAAGAGAGGAAAAGGAAAAGAAAAAGCTTTGAAAATGTTGAAAAAGAAAGGATTTTGTGTTGGGGTTTATTTATTATTACGATTTACCAACATCAAATGCAGTCCTACTACTAAAGTAGCATTATACTATTTGTGTGTGTGTGTGTGTGTGTGTGTGTGTGTGTGAGAAAGAGAGAGAAAGGAGCAAAAATCAAGAAAGTGAGTTTTTGTGTGTGAGAGAGAGAGTTGTGGGGGGGGGGGAGGGGGGCAAAGATAGGTAAAACTGTAAAAGTAAAAACTTTTTTTACAAGCTCGTGAATTTTGAGATCAATAAAAAAATAATAATAATAAAAATTAATAATTAGATGGTTCAATAATTACAAAGAATTAATCAAACACATGGGCCTAGAAATGCTTCAACATGTCCCTCATGCTTAGGGGGAAGTGGGGCCCACCTTCCTTGAATTTCTCCATTAAAGGCTATATAATAACTAACTTGGTAATGACATGTTATGTTCTTCTTGCCACCACTTTTGTGGTCCATTTTTTCATTTAAAACTTAATTATTTGTTCATTGTCTATATAATTGAACCGAATTAATGGGCATATGGTCCATATTTCCATTATTTTTTAGGATAACGCAGCGGTTTTGTAGATGCTATGCTCAGTGAAATACACCATTTGATCATGTATTATTAATCTAAACATAATAACATACGTATATGTATATGCGTGCGCGCTTAGTAGATGGTTATTTGTGTATTTCACGATGTAATGTCATAGACTGTAACGAAGCTTAGTTTTCTAAACTATATAGCATATATGTAGTGTTCCAATTGTTTGTGTACCTAATCATCCTCAATGTTTGTGTACCTAATCAATTCAAAATACTCAAACTCGATTTTTGTTTATAAAAATAGAGCTCAAACACATTTTCTAGAAAAACTTTATAAAAAAGGCAATCAAGCTCGAACGTAATTCGACCCAACTCAATTCATTTACAGCTCTATCCACAATTATTGTTTGATGGTATCATCAATTTTACGCTTTAGTATCTACATGACGGTAATTTATATATATATATATATATATATATATATATATATATATATATATATATATATATATGAAAACAAATTGTGTAAAGTATTAGGACCATATTATAAATAACATAATTATAGAAAATGGATATTCCCTTGTATCCAATAAGTAACATAAAACAATTCAACTATGTTAGAATGTAATTCTTTTTAGAGTGTTTGTCTTGTTGTGTGTGGTGATTCATGTGGTTGAAAGGTTCAATTACTTTGTTTATTCCTGCAAAAAAAAGATAAAGTTCTGACTTCACGAGTTCTTAGGGTTTTGGTGTATTAATTATAGATTATTTTTCTCATAATTGCCATGTGACGAGGTTAGTGCAAATTACTAATTAAAGATTAAGAGATTAGTGCAAAATGATTTAAATAAACACAAAAAAATATTGAAGTGTGTCATGTCATTATTTGATAAAAAAAATTCCACTACTTTTAGATTTTTGGTTGACAGTGAGAGCACTGGGCTTCTACAGAAGTTGTTAAACTATTGTAGATATTAGCACTTGATCCATGTGGTTTGAGCTTTGTGTATATTACCCCTTATACTGTTAATGGTAAATTACGGCCAATCCTATGAAGTAAGATTAAATTACGGTAAAAAAATTATTATGTTTGTGTAATTATAATTACCCTTCAACTATGAATTTTCTTACTTGTTCACCCTTGTTATGTCAAATTTAGTGGAATATTCTCCACTTTGTACCCATTTTATCCCATTCGAGCTCCACATTTTGAAACATTGATCCTCAGAAGATTATATTGAATTTGACAATATTTCACATAATGTAGAAGATTGTATTGAATTTTACACCATAAGGATGGACGTGTAAAAGAATTCATAGTTGAAGGGATGGTTGTAACTTGTAATTAGCTGAACATTATGGGTTTTCGTCAGTGTTCTAAACATCGACCGAGGCGGCCGATTAATCGGTCTCCGAGGCGGAGGCGGTCCAAAACCTTTACGATTTTAGTGTTAAGGTTTGAAAAATCGGTTTTTTGCCTGTGAGGCGGTTTGAGGCGGGTTGAGGCGGTCTGAGGCGGTCAAACCTTTAAGGCGGGTCAAACTTTGGTCGCAAAAATGGGCCAAAAATTGTTTTTTTTTTTTTTTATATATATATATACTTCAAAATAAAAGTTGGGATTTAAAAAAAATGAGTTTATGCTTTATTTTGTTTATGTTTACTGTTATTGTTAAATAACTAATGATGTATGCCAGGAATGTTCAAGAATAAATGTAATTAAAAAAATGCCTTTGTTATTTATACTTTATACGGATATTTATGTATTATGATCTTATTATTATTAAATTTTTATTATGTTATTAGGATATATACATGATGGAGATATAACTATGTCTAAATATCTTTTTATATATGTTTTGAGTATTTATAAATAATATATCGAAATATATTATATGAAATTTTAAAAACTGATTTATACCGGTTAATCACCGCCGCACCGATTAATTATGAGTCGGTCCTTGACCGCTCCGATTACCGCCTTTTACAACCTTGGTTTTCGTAATTTGACCTAACCTCGTGAGAATGGCCGTAATTTATCATACTTTGAATATAAGCATATCACCACTGTAGTTTGAACTTCGTGCACATAACACCCATGTGCTTATGTTAAAATACAAATGAGTCTTGTGCACAAGATTCAAAGTAGATGGGTGGTAAGTGCTATTTAACCAATATTTAATAATATTAGATGAAATCAATTTATTTGTTAAAACAGCATTTTAATCAGATTAATCATTTACAACCTGAATGGACACAATTGGATCCACGAGAAAAATCAAATTGGTAATATCTTTAATAGTAAAATATTGTGTTGCAACTCACATAAGTGAAATTGTTCAAACATAAATAATACAAATACTGAATCCCACAAATAAAACATTGATAATACAAAATTGTGGCTTTTGGAAGCCATAAATTGCAAACTGGAAAGCGAATAGAGGCTCGTAAAATTATCGTACAGGAAATCGAATGCAGCTGCTCTAGTATTTTCTCGACTATTCTTCGCCTCCCGTTTCTGTCTTAGCATTCCTTTTCGATTGCCTTAAAGCCAGTCTTTTCTCCTCTCTGTAAATACAACAAATAAATAAACAGCGCAAAAAGGAAAAAAAAAACAATTGGAAAGAAAAGAAATCAATAAATACCTAATTCTCGCGATTTCCTCTCTGGAAGGCCTTTTTCGTTTCTCTCTCTTTTCTTTTACAACAATTGGTTTTTCAATTTTAGGAGTGGTCGGTTTTTTGAACTCTTTGGGAACAGATTTTTTCTTCTGATGCTTCTGATAATCTACTTCAGCTTTATTCTCCTCATTGTTTTCTACCAACTCAGTTGCTTCCTCCTCCACCTCTCCCAAATTCTCCGACTGTGGCCGAGCTTGCTTCAAATTACTCATTTTCTTCAGCTACAAAAACAAAAAAAAATAATAATAATAAATAAAATAAATATTTGCACAACAATATTAGGTCAACAGCTTGAAGTTAAATTATTCAGATTGTGAACGAAACTAACCTTAGCTACAAAGAAACCATCCATGTTGTTCACATGGGGATAAAAGCGCCTTGTCTTATTTAAGGTAGTGTGAAAACGGTTCCCTCTAAACCGGATGAATCTGGGATACGATACACGATTGTTAGATTGTGATAAATCATTAAACTGTTGAAATAATCGTTCCACTAATAAAAGTCGAAAAGGTATATTACCCTGGATTCCCAAAATCAATGCCACATGGCACAAGTTTCACATCCCTCTTCCTGAGTGCATAATCAATGATAGCTTCATTCTGAAAAAAAAAACTTAAACTTGAGAAAAAAGGAAATCGTAGGGATTATTAGAAGATTTTAAATATATAGTTTATTATTTATATAGTTACGAACCTCTGCAACCATTATGGAACATGTAGAGTAAACAATGTAGCCTCCCGATTTTGAGTTGGCATCCACCATATCTATTGCTGCAAGTATTAATTGCTGAAAGAGAAAAATATTGCAGATATCGATTAATACTTTTATGAACATTCGTCTACCAAGTGAATCTGAAGTGCTTCGTCTACCAATTTGGAACAGAACGATGCATACCTTTTGCAGATGGGCACAATTTTGTATATCTATCTCGCTTTTTGAGGTTTTCACAGACTCGTCCTTAGATATAACCTGCAACAAGTGTAAGTTGAATCAAGTTTCCTCCTATGGTGCTAAAAAGAAGTTGACATGCACTTCAGAATTTAAGATTGACGAGTACCCCTGTGCCACTGCAAGGCGCATCCAACAAAACCCTATCAACTGAGTTGCTCCCAAAAACTTTCGGCAGCTGAAGTAGATCAAATAAGACAGAATATTATATTTGTACGGAGGCAAGTTGACATAAAAAACCAAAAACAATAATACTCTTCAAAAGAATCAAGAAAAATAAGGTAAGGATTGTCACCTCCCTCCCATCGTAGTTAGAAACTATGGTGTTTGTTACGCCCATCCGATGTAAATTCGCAGTGAGCGAATTGAGTCTTGACTCCTTCATCTCATTTGCATAAAGGATACCTATGTCAGGAGAAATTGTCAGAATAAGGATAACATAACTATTTCGCATCATAAATCGTTCGCACTATAAATCGAGTTCACCCAAAACAGTTTCTTACCAGTATTTTTCATAAGAGCAGCAATATAGGTAGTTTTACCTCCAGGAGCAGCCCTACAAATCCACCAATTGAATTAGGATGGAAAGAACATTAGGCAGAAAACAGCAGACTTCCGCCATAAATACAAATGTTTCTAGATAAATATTTTCGCATAAAGACCAATAAAGCAAAGAAGAAACTGCAAAAATAATGGTAACAATAAAAGTACTCACGCCATGTCAACAATTCTTTCCTTTTCATGAGGAGCCAGGGCCATTACAGGCAAGAAGGAGCTTGCACTTTGAAGCTGTAAGCGATAAACTATTAGTTCCTTTTATGTAAAATAAACTCAAAGAAGGAAATCTAGGATCTGAATGTACCATATAATGGCCAGCCATATATTCTGGAGTAGCCCCTATTGGAACTTGTGAATCATACACTATCAAACCAACCTATAAAAAACTCAACTGTGAGAATAATACAATTGATCATTTCGAGGGCAAGAATAAATTACACAGAGAGCCCCATAACTTTGAAAAGATAAGCACTATCACGTAGAAAATCTTACTTTGGACCATTTGCCTAGCGGATCGAGGTTGACTCCTCTGTTTAGAAGCACACCAGCCAAATCCCTCCGACGAGTCTAAATTCCAGTACAGAAAAATATCAAAAACGTGCAAGTGCAACTTTTAGGAATGGAACACTAGGAAAAAGCTTACAGGCCACAACACTAAATAATCAATATTACCTTCAAAGTATTTGTGCGAAGACATATAGGTCTGGGCTTTTCAAAAGCTTCAATAAGTTCCATAAGTTCAACTACTGGAAACATCTGAAATAATGACAGGGAATCACAAAATACACGAGCAAAATGCAACTAGACATCTAAAACCAATAAGAGAGGGGAAGGCAACAGGAATTATGTTTTCATAAGAAGAAAATTTACCTCAACCAAAGCTTCAATCAGAAACTCATTGTATCCATAGTAAGAACTTAAATCAATTTTAAGTTGATCAACATAATCCTTGCGTGTTACGCCCTCTTGCCTCAAAGACTTAAAGTTTGATAGCACTCGCACAACTGAATTAATAACCCAAAATTCAATATACTATTAAGTGAACCCATACGATAGTATCAAGAAAAGACATAAATTAAGGAAGACATACTTTCTTTTATCCTTCTCTCAATACTGGAAAGATCCGGGGGTCTAAGTGCTTCCTCCTCGAGCTCCTACATTATTGAACAGAAATTTAATATAAACATGGAAAACTGATTACATCAAAAATTATAAACCTTGCAGAGAAAAAAAATAGTTAATAAACTGAACCTCTGCAGTTGGTAATCTGAACTCATCAGATTCTTCTTTGATGTTAAGCTGTAATTCAGCTTCCGCTTCTAGGATATCTTGTGCGTTTTTCTCGTCAATAGCTCTTGATTTACCCTCAATATCATCATCATCAGAATCGGAATCAGAATCTGAACCTTCATCGGTAACCTCCTCTGAAAGAAAAAAAAAATATTAAATAAAGTAAGAGAACAGAGATTTATCCTAATAGTAAATGTACAATCACTAACGAAGGCAATACCTTCATCATCACTTCCTGCGAGGATGTCCTTGCTTAACGGATCATCACCCCCTGACGACATGTCTGAATCAGAGTCCATTTCCTGTTCTTCCAGATCAGATTCTTCTAGGTTTTCAGGCTCATCTGAGACATCCAAATCACTAAGCAATTCCTCTTTCTCCGCTTCTTTTTGAACGGTAAATACCCTTTTCTGCTTCTTCATAGGAGGAGCATTTGAGGTCCTGGCGTTCTTTTTCTTGCCCTTAGGACCAGCCATTGAACTGTATACAATAGAAGCAAAACCCAAAAAACTATAACTATCTCACTGTGAAGGCAAAATTTATGTGATGCTAAAATTGAATATTCCCTAGAGTTTCTTTCGAAAGGAAAAAAAAAATGAATACTTGAATAGACAATGGAGAGTTACAGAACCACCAGTCAGATGTAATTTATAATTCACCGAAAAATGCTCACAAAGACTCACCAACATCAAAAACTAAAACTATACATGCACACTAAAACACTCACTTACTTCACTAATCCGATAAAACTATATGTCTGTACCGTCAGTATTTCACAATAAGCGTCCACCAATTAGAGCAAAAATCCCCTCAAATAGAATAAAATTAAAATTTCAGAATTGTCTCTCCAATCAATTATATCCACCTATTGTTTTATTAATTTATGCAAAATAACAGAGGGCAACTTCCCAGCATGAACACTGAGAAAATGGTCCTAGTATACCAAAATTAACCTATTTTTTTCCAAGCAAGTGCCTCTTCCAACATTTCTTAATCCTACTCAACTTCTACATCGCCTTACACCAGACGCCGCCGCAAAAAACCAAAAAAAAACAAAAAGCGACACAAAAAGGTTCAGAGCTTACTCGTTCCGGCGGCGGCGGAGTAGATGTCGGCGGTAAAGGAAGAGGCTGGTCTAGCTAGTTGAAATAGAGAACAATATTGAAGCTTTTTTGAGGAGTTTGATTAGGGTTTGAAAATCTGAAGAGGAAAATAGAAGAGGGGTTTTTCTGAGGGGGCGGAGGGCGAAAGGGTTTAAGGGCTTGGAACGGGAAAATAAATTCAGTGTGTGTGGATTGACGCTTTTGTTCTTGGCCGTTTAGCGTATTTACGAGATTGCCACCACTGCCCTTCTTACCTTAATATGAAATTATGAATTAGGCATCTTAGTTATATATTATTTAGAACCTCAATAAATTAATAATATCACTTAAGTAATAATGTATTATAATTCCGACTCGGTGACATTTGTGCTAAATTATTAATTTATTTAATATTTCGCTAAATTAATAGATTTTTGTTAGTGCATATTGTATTAATATATATAAATTAAATTGTATATTTGGTTGACAATATTTAAACTAAGGCTCGATTTAGAAAATCAACGTAGTTATTTGTTAATGTTTGTTTTCCCTACTTGTTCGATTAATTTTATACGCAATTACTAGATGAGAAAAGGATGATATGATTTGCTTCATAAAATAATATAAACGAGGATATGATTTTGGTTAAATAATGGTATAATAGTTGATATACGAACGTTTCATTTATATAAAATGCGGGAATAAGTATAAAAAAACATTCAACGTACAATTATCACTATTCGAATTGTCGAACTATTGAAGATTATAGCCTCATCTGCTTACTAATATTCGGTTGGATTAACTAAACAATAGAAGTCAATAAGATGTTTCATTGGCAATATACAAAATTACTCAAACCTGCTACTAAAATAAATTTCTGCAGTTAAGGTGGTGTTTGCAAATGATTATTTAAAAGCAAAAGTTAGTGATTGTGATTTAAGTTAGTTTTAAGTGCTTATTACTAAAAGTTGAGAGTGTTTGCAAATATTTCGGAAAATGAACTAAAATTGAAAAAGTAGGGTTAGGGGTGCTTTTAAAAAAATAGCTTAAAGCAGATTATTTTAAGAGAAGCAAAAGCAAAAGTTGATTTTGCAAACACCTAAAAACAGATTATGAGCAAAAAAAACCGCATAATCACTTTCAAAAAGCATTTGCAAACACCACCTAAATGCTACAATTGATTAAATTACAACACTCCTCCCCATTCTTTTATCTTTTTATGGCTGACTAAACGAGAATTACAATTTTATCCTTAAAACGTTAATTTTATTATGACAATAAGATGCACGTTATGTAATGAACCAAAAATGTTGTTAAATAAATACGTAATTAATCAGTAAGGATTTAATCCAATACTGAACTCAACCCGATATTAAGTTCGGCCCAATAGCTGAGTTAACCCACAAAAGAATCAAGCCCAATATACGAGTTTGGCACACAATGCTGAACTAGCCCATCACAAATTGAGACTCATAACAAATTAATAATAATATCTTTTTCTTGGACCATCCCCTAAGGTATGGTCAATTTACGAAAAAACACATCTTGTTTGGGTAATAACACTTATCCCCTCAACTATAATTTTTTCTTATACCTCCACCCTTATAGTTTCAAATTCAACATAATCATGTAAATTTCGTGAAATGTGCTCTAGTTTATACTCGTTTTGTGTAAAAATACAATTTTTTGATGCACCACAATCTGATGTATATACAAGCCAATAAACACATATTATGTTCATCTTGCTTCAAAATGTGGAGTTCGAATGGATAAAACGGGTACAAAAGTGATAATATTCCATATAATCTCGATGATTCGACTAAATTTGAAACCGCAAAGGTGGACGTGTAAGAAAATTTATAGTTGATGGGTGATTTTAATTACCCAAACAGGAAAAGGGTTTTCATTTTTTTTGACCATACCTCAGAAAATGGTTGTAATTTACCCTTTTTTCTTTTAACATAAAAACCAAAATGTTCATTTACAAATCGCAACTTTCATCACGTTTACACGGTTATTTTTATATTGTACACTAATATGAATGTGCGTGTGCTTGTGTTAATATAAATAGTAAATATCTACGCGGTATATTTCACTCAGTGCATCGAGTGAAATATTAACACAATAAATAAATAAATGTCAAGTAACGTTCCAATGTAGCAAGCGAATCAGTGAACCTAAGGAAAGAGATTCCAAATGATGATTCTTGAATCTTTGACCAATATATAATTACTAATTACAAATTAAACAATATTGTGATTACTTATTATATTGCCCCCAAAAACAAAATTAAAAAAAAAAAAAAAAACAAAAGAACATAGTCCGAATATTCAACCAAATTCAAGATTCACCTCTCCACCATATTTGGAAGATATTACTACCCATTAATTGCTTCTCTAAATAGATATATACATGGTCAAAATGAAGCAATCAATATATATATACATACACACATTATATATATAAATATAGATATATATACATATATAAACGTAACCACCCGAATATAAGGGATCTAGCCACACCACACTCATATTCCATTTCCCTGCTCGCCGGAATATCAAGCCCTAATATGGCCGGCGGCGACGAGTCACCGGAGAAGAAGCCTCGCAGTAGTCTCGAGATTGAGGGTAATTATTTAATTAATTTATTGATTTGAAGGAAAATAATTAATTAATTAATTTATTAATAATGTATATGGCAGAATATGACGAAGAAAACTACCACCCAATCGAGCAGGTGAGGCTGACGGTGCCGCCGACGGACGACCCGACGATGCCGGCGTTGACTTTCAGGACGTGGACGCTAGGGCTGACGTCATGCGTGATGCTGGCGTTCGTGAACCAGTTCTTCGGGTACCGTCAGAACAGCCTGTACATATCCTCCGTCACGGCGCAGATCGTTACGCTGCCGTTGGGTAAATTCATGGCTAGGGTTCTGCCGGAGAAGAAGTTCGCGGTGGCGGGCTGGTCGTTCTCGTTCAACCCGGGCCCGTTTAACCTCAAGGAGCACGTGCTTATAACCATATTCGCCAGCTGTGGATCCTCCGGAGTTTACGCCGTCAGTATCGTCACCATTGTTAAGGCATTCTACCACCGCCAGCTCCACCCCGTCGCCGCCTGGCTGTTGGCTCAAACTACTCAGGTACGCTCTTTTTTGTATGGATTCGATTTATATTTATTAAATCATATTTTTCTATTTCCTTCAAATCTGAAATTTATTAAAAAAAAAAATAAAAAAACTATTTTTTATTCTTTCTATTATATGATTTTTAACAGCCATTGTTGGGTGAAGAGAATTGAGTTTAAGATTTTGTTTTGTGAAATATACATTTTTAATCCCTCAAGTTTGCACTAATTTCATATTTGATCCACCATGTTCACAAAAAAACGTATTTGGTCCCTTATGTTTTGAAAATTAACCACTTTTAGTTCTTCCGTTAGTTTCTGGTTAGAACTAATGAAATCAAGTCACTGTCTTAATTGATGAACTAACGATAAATTGACGGAAATGACCACAATTGTTCAATTATTGAAATATGCGGGACCAATATGAAATTGGTGCAAATTTTCTCAATTTTTTTTGATAATACAATTTTAAAAATATCAAATATGTAATTTGTTTAAAATATATTTAAAGATTTTTTTATTTTTTGAAACATCTAGGATGGGTCAATTTGCTATAAAGATTACGAACTATTTAAATCAAATATATACGGGTGCGCTGTGTGTGTTTGTTCTGTTGTAAGTATAAGAAAACAGTGTGCTTTTATTATACTCAGTTTCGAATGTTAAATATTTATTTAAATGAATACTTGTGGATCTTAATAAATAAATAAAAAAAAATAAAAAAAAAATAAAAAAAAAAGAAGAAAAATGTGCTAATTTGTTTGATGAGATTAAATAATTAATTAATTTTTTATAAATATAGATGCTTGGATATGGGTGGGCGGGAATATTTAGGAAAATACTGGTGGACTCCCCATACATGTGGTGGCCGGACAACATGGTTGCAGTTTCTTTATTCAGGTACAGTCAACCTTAATTTATTTTAATTTATTATGGTCCAATTTCCTAAATTCTGCATCTCGAGAAATATTTACTTTATAGTATTATGAGAAATAACAACTCGCATAATTTTATCAACTTGCCGTTGGGTTTGTTGGTAGAAGTATCTGGTATAATCGAATCCAAAATCATTTTATTTTAACTACAAATTGTAGATTGTAAAAAAAGAAAATTATATTTTATGTGTAATAACTTTTTAAATTTTATTATTTTTCGTCCTATTTCACTTAAATTTTGAATTTGTTTATTAAGGAGGCTTAAAAATTATAAATACTCATCTAACTTTGGATAACAAATTTGTCATCCCCCATGATCGAAGTTCTATTACAGCAAATTTCGATGCCAATTTTTTTTTTTTTTTAAGCTTCGGTATAAGTAAAATTAGTCGGATTTATTTTCTGCATCGTAAAATTAAAAGTTCATGCAAATTATGACAAAAAAAATACTATACTTGCAAAGTTACTACATGTAAAATTGAAATTTGACAAGTTCGAGGACTACATTCTTATACATGCTAATATAGAGGACAAAAACCACAATTTTTGCCAAGAAAACATGTATTAGTTCCTATTTATACTTCCATTTTTTTTGTTATTTATTCTTTTTTTTTTGCAATTTTCTTTAGTTATTTGATTCTATTTCACACAAAAAAAAATCTTTTTGGAATTGACGAGAAAAAAAAATTCGAAAAAATTGCAGAGCGTTGCACGAAGAGGAGGCGAGGCCAAAAGGAGGCCTATCAAGGCTCCAATTCTTCCTTATCGTCTTCGTAACAAGCTTCGCGTACTACATAATCCCGGCCTACTTCTTCCCATCAATCTCCGCCGTTTCCGTACTCTGCCTAATCTGGAAAGATTCCATATTCCCTCAACAACTCGGGTCGGGTCTCCACGGTATGGGCATAGGGTCGTTCGCGTTCGATTGGGCCACCGTCAGCTTCATAGGAAATCCCATTTCTACCCCTGCATTCGCCATCATCAACATCCTCATCGGCTTCGTCCTCGTCATGTACATCATGACACCTTTGACCTACTTCAACAACGTCTATGGGGCCCGCAAGTTCCCGATATTTTCTTCGCACACGTTCGATTATGCGGGCCAGCCCTACAATATTTCGAGGGTTTTGAACGAGGAGACTTTTAACCTTGACTTGGTCGGGTACGCGAGCTATAGCAAGTTGTACCTTAGCGTTTTCTTCGCCTTCACTTATGGATTAGGGTTTGCTTCGTTGTCTGCCACTATTACCCACGTGGCACTTCACCATGGAAAGTAAGTACTCTATTAGCTTATTCAAATTATCTGTTCCTTTGGAATTTCAATTATCATATGCGTTTAATTACTCATTTCCAAATTTGACCGGTCAACCAATTTTAACCCCGAGCCCAATTTTAACAGTCACTTTTCAGAAATTTTTAATTCAAATTTAATGACAGGCTAATCAATTACTCATTTTCTAATATTGCCATTATTAATTAGTCGAATTGCATATATTGCATTTAACACCCACACTTGTTCTATTGAATCGCCAAACAAACCCCTCGTATTATAAATATTAGCAAATGGTACATTTTTCTTTTCAGTACACAACCCCCTAGATGGTACATTCTTAGATGAGTATAGTTTGCTAATAAAATTGTACCATAGGGAGAATTTTGCTAATGCTTATAACATGTGTAGTTTTTTGCAATTAGAGTAAAACTATGGGTGTCGAATGCAACAAAACCCTTCTCTTTTCCTAAGATCCATTCATTTTTACAATCTTTTTTAATTAAAAAAACGACACTTAATTTGAAACGGATAGATCAGCAACCCTACAATGCACATACTAAACCTATATCGTTTTAGTCGATCAAATTGAAATTTTATTTTTGCTACTAACGATTTTAATTCGATTATGTAACCAAACACAGAACAATTTGGACGTTATGGACAAAAGCAAAGAGCAACCTAAAAGGCAAAATGGACGTCCACACGAGACTAATGAAGACGAACTACGAAGCCGTACCCGATTGGTGGTTCTACAGCATTCTCGTCGTCGTTTTCGGTCTCTCTCTATGGGCATGCGAGGGTTTCAACAAACAGCTCCAGCTCCCGTGGTGGGGCCTCATGTTAGCCTGCGCTATGGCTCTCTTCTTCACTCTACCCGTCGGCATTATCCAAGCCACCACAAACCAGGTACGTAACGGCAACGTAACAATATATTTTTACTATTAATTCTTTTGTTTTGTCGTCCCACGTGCATGAGTAATTTTTTTTTTTTTTTTTTTTCCGGTTTTTTGCGTGCATGCAGCAAATTGGGCTGAATATTATAACGGAGATGGTGATCGGGTACATTTACCCGGGGAGGCCGCTCGCGAACGTGGCGTTTAAGACGTATGGGTATATTAGTATGTCTCAAGCACTTGGCTTCCTTAGTGACTTCAAGATTGGTCATTACATGAAAATCCCTCCTAAATCCATGTTCATTGCTCAGGTAATTATCGTTAATTATTATCGAGTTTATTGCATTCAGTACCCTTCTGTTATATCAAATTGTTAAAAAACTCTCTTCGTATTTAAAAATAATAGCAAACACCCCCTTATTAGGCAATTTTTGGCATTTAAACCTCCCGAAAGATCGCTTTTTAGGGGTAGTTTGCTATAAAAATAATTGAACCATAGGGGATACGAAAATCCCTCGAAAATCCATTTTTGTTGCAGACATAATTGCATTTAGCACCCTTACCTTATATCAAATTGCTAAAATTAATACCATGTGTTATAAGTATTATCAAAGACTCCCTATTATGGCATACTACCTTCTAAATTGTGAGTTTTTACTTTAGAGACAATATGCTATAAAAAAAATTGTATCATGGGGGGTTTTGCTAATATTTATAACATGGGGGAGTTCTTTTAACAATTAGAGTACACATAGGGGATGCTAAATGCAATAAACCATGCAATTATTATTATTATTATTATTGAAAGTTTTTTATTCATCGACTTAATTGATTACTTTGCTGTATTATACAGCAGAATCTCGATAAATTAATAACCTCGTTTAAATAATAATTTTCAGTCTCAATTGGATAAAAACATATTAAATTATTAGTTCGATAATTTGATATTTCGTTAAATTAACAGAAATTTGCTAGTACCGACTGTATTAATTTAAAGAGATTTTACAGTTAGTCGGAACGGTGGTTGCTTCTTCGGTCTACTTCAGCACGGCGTGGTGGCTGCTGACTTCCGTCGAGTACATCTGCGATCCGGCGAACTTGCCGGACGGCAGCCCGTGGACGTGCCCCGGCGACGACGTGTTCTACAACGCCTCCATCATCTGGGGGGTGATCGGGCCGCTGCGCATGTTCACCGGCCAGGGCGTCTACGGGGCGATGAACTGGTGGTTCCTCGCCGGAGCCATCGCGCCGGTGCCGGCGTACCTCCTCGGCAAAAAGTACCCGGAGAAGAAGTGGGTGCAGCTGATCAACGTGCCGCTGATCCTGTCGGCGACGATGAGCATGCCGCCGGCGAGGGCAGTGAACTACATCATGTGGGGGGTGGCGGGGCTGTTCTTCAACGTGTATATCTACAGGCTGCACAAGCGGTGGTGGGCCCGCCACGCTTACGTCATGGCGGCGGCGCTGAATGCCGGGCTGGCCTTCTTGGGGGTGCTGCTCTACTTCACGCTGCAGTCGTATGACGTGGCGGGTCCTGATTGGTGGGGACTTGACGCTGACGACCATTGCCCTCTTGCCACGTGTCCGACGGTGCCTGGGGTTTTTGTTAAAGGTTGCCCTGCTCTTTGACCGTTGACCAATTATGCGTTGACCAGTGTTGAATTTTTTTTTTTTTTTTTTAAGATAATGTTTCTGTTTTTAATTAATTATTGCCATTGTAAATAGATGCAAGATTAATTAGCTTAATTGCTAGGGTTTGTGATTTTAATTAATGATTTGTGTTTGTCTCTCTAATCCTATGGTTAGGGATGGCTGCTTTGCATTATAGACTTTGGAATTAATCTTTAAGTTATTTTGTAAATATGGTTTGGTTAATTAATTGATCAGCATTTCTTTTAATTGTGAAGGTTAGTATAACTTTTACCTTTTTTTTTTTTTTTTTGTTCTTTTTATTAGTAAGTGTGTTATATTATATATATCCCATTGTTAGAAGAATTACTTTTCATAAATTGTGATTTTTTGTCAATAAATAATAAATTTTATAATTTTAAAATAATATTTCCAACCAAGAAAAATATAACTTACGACTGTTATTTTTACGAAATATTAATTTATATTAATATCGGATGAATCATTTAGTTTGCGGGTATGATTTTGAACTTAAAAACGTATTTAAATAACAATTAATATATTTTTATGTCATCTTCATATATTCTATATCAAAATTTTATTTATATTTTGTATGATCATATGTTAATGTTTAAAGGACTAATTCAACTACATATGTTTTTCTGGTATATACTAATTTATTTATAATTTATATATAAGTAATGGGTGCTAAAGTGGAACTATTTACTAATGAGGGACTATTGGTGAATTTTGACATATATATATATATATATATATATATATATATATATATATATATATATATATATATATATATATATACACATATATATATAAAAGTGAATATATTGTTGTAATATCAAATCACACTCCAAATATAGCATAATATAAGGGTCACGGATTCGATATTAATTGTGAAATACATCTCTATATATATGTGTGGACAAATTCAAATTCAATAAATTCAGTATTTCGGATTTCAAATTTTATGGTTTCAATTCATAAATATCAATATCTTTTTATAAATGACTTGAGTTGTTACATATCTATGCTTAAAAAATGCTATATTTAATGCGGTGTCCAATTTGTCTCGGGATAATCCGAATTTATGATCATGATCAATTATTTTACTATAAGAATTAATCACGATCAAAATTTGTCACCAAATACTTATATTAAGTGATACACTTAATTATCGACGTCACATACATAAATTCATTTTGCGTATAAGATTATGATTCCGTGCAGTGTTTTCGGCTCAATTCGAATAATATTAATAACCCAAAACGAAAATATTTACTTTTACAAAAAAGTAAAGTTTTTATTCCACATTCATACTAATACCTATCCAAAAAAATCTCAAATTGAATGAATGTAGTTCCAATTACATTGACAAAATATGATTATTATTTATTAACAAAAAAGAAAAGATTTACTAACAAAAAAGTCAGAACATAGTCAAGATTTGAGACCAATTTCACATTCATTTCGGTCAAATTTCATACATCAAATAAAGTCAATCCTCCCCAATATATTTGGGGAGCATTAATTGAAAATGCACTTATATATAAATAAGCAAATAGGTATTCACATGTCAAATATATATATGAGATTCCAATTATAATTTCATTTTATTTGATCACCCAAAAAAAAAAAATTGCCAATGGCCGACGGCAATGTCGAAGAAGCTTTTCGTACAAGCAACGAGCCGGAGAAGAATCGCGTAGATCTTGAAATAGAGGGTAATTAAACATTTTTTTGTTTCTTTTTTATTTTTTTTTAACGTGACTCTTGATTGTGTAAACTAACAGCAATTTCAAACGGTGGACGGACGAAAATTGTAAAAAAAATTGGTTATCTGAGGACCAACTTCGTGGCAGAAAAAGTTTAAGGACTAAAATCATAAATAATGTATAATATAGGGACCAAAACTGTAATTATTGATTTATTTATACAGATGAAGATGACGAGAACTACCACCCGATCGAGCAAGTCCGGCTGACGGTGCCGCCGACGGACGATCCGTCCCTGCCGGCGTTGACTTTCCGGACATGGTTTCTCGGCCTACTTTCGTGCGTTTTGCTCTCATTTCTGAACCAATTTTTCGGTTACCGTCAAAACAATATATCGATCTCCGCCGTGGCGGCGCAGATAATTACGCTGGCGATGGGGAATTTCATGGCTAGGGTTCTGCCGGAGAAGAAATTCACGGTGCCGGTGACGAAGTGGAAGTTTTCGTTAAACCCTGGTCCGTTTAATCTGAAGGAGCATGTGTTGATCACCATATTCGCCAACTGCGGCGCGTCGGGAGTTTACGCCCTCAGCATTGTGACGATTGTCAAGGCTTTCTACCACCGCCAGCTCCACCCCTTCGCCGCCTGGTTGTTAGCTCAAACTACGCAGGTACACTCTCTCTCTCTCTCTCTCTCTCTCTCTCTCTCTCTCTCTCTCTCTCTCTCTCTCTCTCTCTCTCTCTCTCTCTCTCTCTCTCTCTCTCTCTCTCTCTCTCTCTCTCTCTCTCTCTCTCTCTCTCTCCAGGACTAGGGTAGAAATTTGATCGATTATTTCGAATTACGCAGATTCTGAAAATTCCAATTTTCAGGTTTGTTTTTTTTTTGAACGAAATTGGAATATATATTAAATTCCAATTTATGCTCGGATTTTAATTTCTAGAAATTCAATTAATTTTCGAAAACTACTTATAGGTGATTAAAATTCAGTGCCGTTGAAATTGGAATCTATTTTTTCGGAACAAGTTTTTTCATTCAAATTTTTTATTTCTCCAAAAAAAAAAATTAATCGAATTGGAATCAGTTATGGATGAGATTATAGGTGACTAAAAAATGGAATCTCCAAATGCCACGTTTAAATTGGAATCTCCGAATGTTGTTGACTTCAATTAATTTCATTTTTTTATTTTATTTTTATTTTGAAACAATTTTTTTCATTACAATTTTCGAAATTACAATTTTTTATTTCTCCAAATTTTTTTAATCGAGTTGGAATTAGTTATGGATGATTATAGGTGACTAAAAACATAGAATCTCCAAATGCAGTTTAAATTGGAATCCTGGAATGCCGTCAACTTCGATAAATTTTACTTTCTATTTTTAAAATTTAGAAACAAGTTTCTTCATTCCAATTTTCGAAATTCCGATTTTCGGTTTTCCCAAAATTTCCACTTCTTTTCAGATGCTTGGTTATGGGTGGGCCGGTATATTCCGGCAAGTCTTGGTGGATTCCCCCTACATGTGGTGGCCGGAAAACATGATTGCTGTCTCTCTCTTCAGGCAAATTCCCTCTCTCTCTCTCTACACACACATATACATACGACTCCATTAGAACCTTGATAAATTAATACTCAATAAATTAATAACCTCACTCAAATAAATAGTTTTTTCCGGTCCCTATTCGTTAAAAATCTTCCAAACTATTAGTTCGATAATTTAATATTTCACTAAATTAATAGAATTTTGCTAGTTCCGACTGTATTAATTTATAGAGGTTCTGTCCCACTCAATCATTGCAGAGCATTGCACGAAATAGACGTACGGCCCGAAAGGAGGCCTATCGAGGCTCCAATTCTTCCTCATAGTCTTCGTGTCGAGCTTCGCGTACTACATAATCCCGGCCTATTTCTTCCCATCAATCTCCGCGATTTCCGTACTCTGCCTAATCTGGAAAGATTCCATATTCCCCCAGCAACTCGGGTCGGGTCTCCACGGCATGGGCATCGGTTCCTTCTCCCTCGACTGGTCCGCAGTGGTCAGCTTCATAGGAAATCCCATTTCTACCCCTGCATTCGCCATAGTCAACGTCCTCGTCGGATTCTTCCTCGTCATGTACGTCATGACCCCGTTGACTTACTACAACAACGTCTACAGTGCAAAGAAATTCCCCATCTTTTCGCCCCACACGTTTGACCAAAACGGTCAGACTTATAACATCTCTCGTGTTTTGAACTCGGAGAGCTTCGATCTTAATATGGCCGGTTACGAAGGTTATAGTAAATTGTATCTCAGCGTTTTGTTCGCCTTCACTTACGGCCTCGGTTTCGCCTCGCTGGCGGCCACCATCACGCATGTCGGGCTTTATCATGGAAAGTAAGTGACTTCAGCAGTGGCAAAGCCAGTATAGGGAAATCAGGAAAAATCGAGGGGGCAACGACCCCCCGATTTAGGGGTTTATTGCATTCACCATCCCTATAAAGATTGGTTTTTTAAATTTTTTTTTTTCAGAACAATTTGGTCTTTGTGGAGCAAAGCGAAGCGCAACCTGCACGGAAAACAGGACGTGCACACAAGAATAATGAAGAAGAATTACGAAACGGTCCCCAACTGGTGGTTCTACGCCATTCTTGTACTAGTGTTTTGCCTTTCGTTGTACGCCATTGAAGGTTTTAACAGGCAGCTTCAACTCCCGTGGTGGGGCCTCGTAATGGCCTGCGGAATGGCTCTCTTCTTCACTTTACCCGTAGGCATTATTCAAGCCACAACGAACCAGGTACAATATATATATTTATACAGATCACACTTTTTCAAGAACCTGTCTTTTCCTTTTCTTGAAATTATTTATTAAAAAAAAAAAGTTTTAGCAGATTTTGCCGATTTTTTCGCATTTCTTGTGATGCAGCAAATAGGGTTGAACATAATCACCGAAATGGTCATAGGTTACGTTTACCCGGGGAGACCTCTAGCGAACGTAGCTTTCAAGACATACGGCTACATAAGCATGACGCAAGCACTTAGTTTCATAAGTGACTTCAAATTAGGACACTACATGAAAATCCCTCCAAAATCCATGTTCTTAGTACAGGTTCTTTTATTTCGACTAGTTTCCGATCATCGTAAATTTTTATTCATTGACCAAAAAAGAAAAAATAAATATTAAAAATCAGTTCTTGATTTTTTTGCCAGTTAGTGGGAACACTAGTAGCGTCGTCTGTCTACTTCAGTACAGCTTGGTGGCTGCTAACAACGGTGGAACACATATGCGATAAGACTAAATTACCCCTCGGGTCCCCCTGGACTTGCCCGGGTGACGAAGTGTTCTACAACGCTTCGATAATATGGGGTGTGATAGGACCAATGAGAATGTTCACTAGCAAGGGCGTTTATGGAAATTTGAACTGGTGGTTCTTGGCAGGCGGTTTGGCCCCCATACCAGCCTACCTCCTCGGCCGGAAATATCCGGACAAGAAGTGGATTCGGTTGATAAACGTGCCACTTATACTGGGTGCCACCATGAGTATGCCGCCAGCTAGGGCAGTGAATTATATTATGTGGGGAGTTGTTGGGATTTATTTCAATATGTATTTGTTTAGAGTGCACAAGAAATGGTGGGCTAGAAACGCTTACGTATTGGCGGCTGCGCTGAACGCCGGAATCGCGTTCTTGGCTGTGCTCCTCTACTTCACGCTGCAGTCGTACGATGTGGCGGGCCCCGATTGGTGGGGGTTGGATAATGACGATCATTGCCCTTTGGCCTCGTGTCCCACTGCTCCTGGGGTGGTGGTCGAAGGTTGCCCTGTTTTCTAATGTCATGATTAAGAAGAAGAAAAAAAACTTTTTTATTAGTAGTTTTACATCATTGTAAATATCTGCAAGATTCGATTTTTAGGGTTTGTGCTGGATGATTATTGATGAATTTGAACAATTGGACAGTGATTCGAACAAGATTCGATACTTTTGTACAGGTTTCATGTTCCGACTCGAACGTGATTAAAATAACCGAAATTAAATTTGATCAAAACGCAGGTACTTGTGATTTATAAATTATAATCAACAACCCAAAGAAGGAAGTTCGAGAAACACAAGTGGAAAAGTCGATCATATGCCGGATTATAATACGAAATTAGAAGTCTCGTTCGGAATGTAACATTAAACCACAAAAGAGAGATTTTTTTAACTAATATTCAAAAATTCTATGCCACATATAAATAAATATCACTACAATCAGTCTTTGATATTCAAACTAGTCTTCCAAAATCTCAGTATTGTGACATCGGTTGTAACGCGTTCGAAGCTTTTATGCAAAAAGTTCCGAGTTCAGCCAATCCCTACAAACGCATTTCAAATTTTCAGCAACGAAATTCAATATACACAAGAAATGCACTTAAATCATTGATCTTAAAAAAGAGAGGAAAAAAAAAAACGGCTCTTACTTGCTGATGTCATCCAGGTGGTCATCAAAGTCAACGATTTCGTTCCATTTCTCAGAAGAGATGTAATCGAGAAGCACTGTATTAGCTGAAGGCTCCTTGATTGTGAGCTGGTTGCTTCCTTTTGATCCAGCTAGCTTCCAAGTAGATGCATCTTTGGTGTAAAGCTAAGCAATAAAGCGGCACATAAGACACGAGTTTCGCAAATAGAGAACACGTCGAGGGAAAGAATAACGAGTTGCAATATAAACAAAAGAATACAAGATAAAAGTGCCGACGAGCAGAACACGGAACATAACAGAGCATACAAATTCAGAGTTCTCGTGAGGATGGTTTAGCAGCATTTAAACTAGTTAAACGAGAGTCGAGATTTTTCTGACTGAATCTAACTTAAAAATTGGACATTCAAGCTGTGTAGTGTAGTAGCACACAAGGGCACTTAGTTCATCCTAAATTTACGTGTGAGGCTGCATTTTCTTTTGATATTCAAGAAATGTGAATACAATGTCATTGTGCTCGACTAAAACATACACTAGCGCATGTTGTTCAAGTAATTCCACATTGTGAACCGGCTCGAGCACACATGCTAAACCGAAAAACCTCATGTTTTCAATTAATAAGAAAAAAAATGGAGAATCGGACTAAATTGCTTAAAACGCTTTCATGTGATTCGGTTAACACTAATCATAGGCAAAACATAAGCACAACACCGACTACGATTCAGGAAATAATATGTTTTCAAGATTAGCGCCTTTTGACATCTTATCTATTTTTGGAGATGATTGCAACTTTCTGCTTGATCTCAACTCACTAACTAAGACTAATCGAACAATAAATCACAAAACGAAGTCAATATTTGGAATTGTGAAGTCAAATCTATTCCTTCAGCACTGAAATAAAAAAAAAATAACAAAATATTCAACACACTCAAGTTAAGAATTGCAGCAGAAAAAGTCACCTGCAACACCGGGCTTCGGTCTTTTCCTTTCGATAAATCCCCGAGCTTTTTATTATCCAACTGAAAACGACAAATTTAATCATCAGAACCATTCGCCAACAAACTGAAATTCAAGCTGCTGAATTTTATTTTTATCCAAAAACAACATTTCAACTCGAGAAAAACGCACCAAGAGCAGCGCAGCATCAGGAAAATACCGGGTAATATGATCTCCGATGTTCTTCGCAACACCAGCGAGTTCAAAATCATCGTACCTCTCATTAGCATGAAAGTAACCGACAACACTCAATCCCTTCTCTCCATAATACTCCTCTATCTATAAAAAAAAATTACAAATTGAGATTTCGAATTTCAAATTTTAAATTCCAACTCAAAAGGCAATTAATATTTAACCAAACATTGGATTGCATTCAGAATCGAGTGACTGACCATAATGAGGGCAATCTCGAGCGGAGGAAGGAGGCCGATCTGGGAGTGGAAGAGGGGGACGGAGTCAACGATCTCGACGGCGGCGCCATCGGCGGATGAACGGCCGATGAGGACGCCGTTGACGGCGGAGGAGCGGTGCTTTAGGGAGTGGAGTATCAGCTTGATGTAGGCGTCTTGGTGGATCTCGTACCGCAAATCGCCGGTCATTGCTCGCTCACTGAATCGGGGATTTTTGTTTTTTGGTTCACTATTTAACACTGCAACTGTGCGTTTCTTACGCCTCCGGTTCTCTACAATTACAATCAAAATCGCTGTTAATTTATTATACAATCTTTTCTTGGATTTTAATTTGGGCCGCTTTGGGTGGGCTACGGACTGCCACTCCCTCTATATAACGGGCCGGGTTAATGTTAAACCCATTAACTGTATTTTTAGGGTAAATTACAACCACCTCCCTGAAGTCAAGTGTAATTACCAAAAGAAAATCCTTCTTTTGAGAAATTACATGCAGCCCCTGTAGTTTGTAAATTTCTTACATTCACTCCCTATAGAAGGGTGTTAATGTAAGAAATGTACACATCACAGGGGTGGATGTAATTATAGAAAAATGAGGGGTTTTTTTTATAGGCCTTATGACATGCTTCTTCTTTTGCACCGATAGTGCTAGTGTTTATCCTCCGATGAAAAGTTGTCGATTTAATTGATTTTTTCAAGTCTGAGAATCAAATTCCTACGACCTCGTCAACCGTTAAGGTTAAATTATTTTTCTTTAATCATCTGTTAATTTGTAATCCATTTGCTATTTTTTTATGTTTTTGTATTAAAAAAAAAAAAAAAGAGTTAATCGTCTGTTGATTTGTATTGTTTTACTTTGATGAATATGCTTCGATAATCATCTGTTAATTTGTAAAAAAAATAAATTATAGGACGGTTTCTGCCAATAAAATAACATGTGTAGTTTTTTCGACAATTTAATATACCACATGGGTACTAATTGCAATAAACTCTAATTTTTTATACAGTAGAGAAATTAATAGATAACAATTGAATGAATATGTGCAGGAATTGAAGAGAGAGAAAAAGCTTGCCGTGAAATTGGAGGGGGATATAATTTCGACCCGATAAGAATGTGCGGACGAATTGATGTTCTGGTTTGCTCGGATTCTTTTCGTTACATAAACTGGGACGGGGTTCGTTTAACGCGTACAGTATTACGTCTTCTTGGCTGGTTCACGACACGTACCCGATCGATAATTTTTCATTTCCTACGTTTATTGCTCTAATGTTGCAGCCAGTATATAATAGGTTTCATAAACATCATCTGTTTATTCTTTTTTTTTTTTTTTTAATTCTGATGTAATTAGTCATCATCTGCAGAGTTTTGAGTACATTTCTAAAAATGTAATTAGTACATTTTTAAAGCTAATTTATTGCGTAATTTATTTTTTTCGTTCTACCTGGTTACGCAGTGTTATTTACTTTTGTCGTTTATAAATCTTCGCCAAGAACGATTTGAGCACAGCTTGTACTTCCCTGCTAGGGTGAGCTTCGATCGAGTTAGTTATCTTCTCGTAACTCGTGCTTTCGTACTCCAGATACACATCCTACCAAAATTTAAACCATGGTTAAATATTTTTTTACCATAAGAGATTAAAGTCTTTCTACGTTCTTAATTCTCCGATTATGAGAAAGAAACCTGAAGCTTGAGAGCTTTGTAAAGGTCTTTGACTTTAGCTACAGCTGCAGGATCATCCTTTCCATAATTCTCCTGAAATTAAATGAAAGCTCGTTTATTACAAGCAATAGAACACATAAATAATACGTCGAGAATTAAATAATACGATATTATTACATAGAGAGTGAGCTTTTGGTCCTCGTTACATAATTCAAGGGCTTTGACTACCAACCAAGAGCACTTAAAATCTTCAATGTCGGTTCCAATCTGTATATCACAAAGCGTAAACCGATATTTTACTCTGGCAAAATATGTTCTTAATTTCTTAAACATCGAAAGATTTTACCTTACCAATCACCTCTGGATCACCGAAACAATCTAGATAATCATCCTAAAATAAACGGGAAAATCCGATTAATATCGAGATTTAGAGTCGAGAGAATAAGCTAAAAAGAAAGATGTATTTTACCTAATTACCTGAACTTGAAAATAAGTTCCCATTTCAATCAATACGTCCTTTACAGCGACGTGATTGTCCAAATTCTCGCCAAACATAAGAAGTGCACATGCTACCTGTAAAGGCTCGCCCGAATCAAATTTAATTTTTTACATAAAATTGAAGGATCGAAGGAAATTCAAGTCACAGCGAAAAATATTCTCGGTTGGAGTGTAGTGTTTACTCACAGGAAGATAAAACGAGTAATAGGCAGTTTTGTACTGCACAATTCGGCGGTGCCTGTGTAGAAACAGAAGAATTAATTTGTAAAAAAATGATAAGTTAGTGGATATATTTGGAATTACGGTTTTTTGTATAAAAGGTGGCGCAAAATTCATACTTACAAAGGCAGTGAGTACTTCAATAAGTCCTTCTCTCCAACAAGTGTGGTGATCAAATCGATCATTTGTCCATGCGCTGTCTGGAACTCCACCTATTGAATCATTGTTTAACATAAAAGAAACGAAAAGAATCATATTTCCGGAAAGTTAATCCAACTGCACTACTGTAAGTGAAGGGTAGAATCAAACCTCGTTAAATAAATCCACCAGATCCACATAGTAAGGCTTTTCTTTGAAATGCCTTTTCAGAATTCTTGAAATATGCGTGCGCAGTATTATCCCGTCATTCATCGCTATCATCCCAATCTTGGGAAATAATTACAATCAGCGGATTTAGGCATATTATAATCGAACATTCGCTAATATTCTCGATTAAATAAATATTTTTGAATAATTATATATACATCAACTTTAAGAGCCAAACCTTGGGCAATCTGAACCAACAGGGTTGACCTCGGCGTGTATGAGAGCCATCCATTATATCATCAAGAACAAGGAAATACGATTGAAGCTGTATAGATGTTATTTTATTATTAATTCCGACCGGCAGCCAAAAATCGTTACGACATTGAGTTAAAACTATTAGCAATAATTCGACAGTAAGGATTATTTAATTTGTCATACCCACTCAATGCACCACCCAAGTGAACATGCAAGAAAAACTTCTTCATCGGTCAGCTCTTTCCCTGATTTCAGCAGCTTATAGCTTTCAACGACTGAGAGCCCTCGATTCAGTTTTCCTGTAACATAACAAGGGGCGCAAAAACCCCCCTCATGGAACTATTAGATAGTGATTTTTTTTTTTTTTGTTAGGACAACGTATATAGTTTAAATGCAAAAGCCTTAGTATGAAAGAAGGCGTCTTAACGTTAAGTTACAGCAACGAAGTTTTACACTCACCTCCGGGAACATTATAGTCCAGCATCTGTCGTAAAATAGCCACACCAGAAATTGTTAGATAATATCAAATCCATCAAAAGAGAAGGCACAGTAGTAAATAATTGGATTAAAAAAAAAATCGTTCGACAACCGTTTTCAGAATTCACAAACACCGGTTAACAATCTACCCTGATCGAACCATGGCGAATCTGATTCAATCTCCCCCACTATTTGTGCTAACACACACACACATACACTACACACTTAAATTATCCCCCCTTGGAATACAAACAGCTAACAAATAACAAGTTAACAATTCAACAATCACATAAACAACATAGAATATTGGGAATCCAAATTCAGCAAAGACTGAACACAAACCATCGTGAACAAGATTGAATAAATTAAATGAAAATTCTCGAGAAACAAAAGACACCGAAATCAATCAATCAATCATGCAGAGCTGCGTACACTTAGAGCTATAAAAAATCATAAACACATACTCAATGGGAGTGAAAGCTCAAAACACATAGAACAATTAAAAAAAAACGATTATGAATGTACGGAGAAGAATCACCCGCTCAATCCACTGACGAGAATCATCGGTGAACTCGAAATTGGGGTCGTTTAACAGCTCCGATTTCAATACGGAATAAACTTGCAGGAATTTTGATTTCAGATCTGCCATGGTTGAAAGTGGGCGGAGCAGCGGCGGAGAGTGCGTGACTGTGTGTTGTGTGAGGAATCGAATTCGTCGTTTGGTTTTCGTGTCACCGGCAAATACTACTCCTCGTGCCATCTTCGTGATGAATATGATAAAATAGAAAATTACGGTTTTCACCCCTCAAGTTTGCATCGATTTCACATTTGTGCTCCTATGTTACAAAAAATGGTAAATTACGGCCACCCTGTGGTATGACCAAATTACGAAAGTAAAAACCCTCTTATTTGGGTAATTACATCCACCCATCTTTTTAAATATTTTTACAACATTTTTTATGTAATTCAGTTATTTATCGAACCAAATCGTATATTCAGTTTGGTAAACGGTATGAAATATTGGCGTACCGAAATTTCGGTTCGATTTTATCGATTTGACGTCCCTAAATTTATCTCTTGAGGGGTTTTTTTCGTAAGATAATACATAATTGAATGGGGTAACTGTAATTATCCAAACAAGAGACGGTTTATATAATCTGACCACAACTCAGGGTGGTCGTAATTTGGCCTAAAAAACATAATTGATCCCTGATGATTCAATAGTTTAACACTTTGGTAGTTTACATCAATTTAACATTAATCTGTCAATTAAAATAATGTTGGAAATATGCTTGATTCTGCTATTACTAACGGAAAATTAATGGAAATGGCTAAAAATATGGAATTTTGAAATAGAGGGATCAAATGTATTTTTTTTTTTTTTTTTGCGAATATGAATGACCAAATGTGGAATCGGTGCAAATTTGAGGGATGAAATTTGTATGTTCCCCAATAATAAAAAAATAAAAATAATTGAGAGCCAAAACGACGTAGTATCGGGCTATTAAGATTTAAGACCTAAATAATGATCTCTTTCCAATTACGGCTCCTTTAGGTCACCAAAACGACGCAGTTCGGTCTCTAAAACTAAATGATTTATTTTCCCCCCAAAATTATTGGAAATGAAGGGCAGAAAACAATAATAATGACATATGAAAGGAGAAATTTTGTGTTCGTCCCTCAAGTTTGCAAAAATACATTTGGACCATCATGTTTCATAAATTTAACATTTTTAGTTATTTTCGTCAATTTTTCGTTAGTAGTTACAGAATCAAGCGTGTGCCCATCATTTTCTTAGTCGGCGGACTAACGGTAAATTAATAAAAATAATCAAAAAATATTAAATTATTAAAACATAAGAAAATAAATGTGTTTTTTGTGAATTTCAGAAACTAAATATAAAATCAATATGAATTTGAGGGATGAAATCTGCAAATTTCCCGACATATGAACTAACTTTTAATCAATCAGATATAAAGAAAAAAGATGACCCACAAAAATAAAAATTAAATTCAAAAATACCCTCAATTAAGAAAATATGAGTGTCCTTTTCCCTTTGCTTTTATTTCGTTTGGGTTTTTTAATCGAAACAAATTGAGTACTATCATACCTTTTGTTGGCCACATACCAAAAAATGTCGAAGTAAAAATGATGTAATAAATATCGTTTCAGTTCAAATATTTAATGCAATTTTGATCATTGTTACTCCGAATTTGTTAAAACCCTGAGCACGAAATTTGTAGTTCCTTGAATTAGCTTTCTAATTCAACTTAAATCACGACGATTGAATGTCGGGTTAGAAAGACACATATAAATCAATAAACACCCCCTTCAATTTTGATGCTATGAATTATGTAAAATTAAAAAATGTAACTCATTCAAGCATAATTTTATCACCCGACTTTCAATTTGGCTGATTCAAGTTGATTGGAAAGCTTACACAAAGGACTACAGTTTCCGTGTTTTGAATTTTTCCAGAATCAAAAAGAAAAATTTCAAAATCGCTTTCATAGTCAAAACGATATTAATAAAATTGTAAAAAAAAAAATTACAACATAATTTATTACTCACATGCTAATTTGTTAAAAAAAAATAAATTAAAGAGGGGTAAAACGGTAAAAAGCAGAGAGATAAAAGAGATCCGTGATATCCGAATTTGTTCTTGACAGATTCTTGAAGAATGTGGCTCTGGGTTTTAATAGTTTTTTTTAGGGCTAAATACAGTTTGCACCCTTAAAGTATAGGGTTAGTAACACTTACCCCCTTAAAGTTACAAATGTAACACTTACACCCCTCATTAATGAATTTAATGATAAAACTTTGACTTTGAATGATGTGGCATTTTTTCTTCCCAAATTATCCTTCTAGCTATTATATTGATGCATATATAATAATATATTTTCAATAATATTTCAAAAACTAAATCTTATAAAATATAATTATTATTAAAAAAATATTTTGATTTATGTTTAACTTCACATTTTAATTACTATAGACCCTAATATAAATAAAAATATCAATATTTTAAAAAATATATAAAATATGTTAAACATTTGCAAGAAAAAAAAATTTCAAGACTTAAACGTCCAATTTTTTTATACTAATTATTGATTTGAAAATTTATTTCAGTTACTTAAATTTCAATAAAAAAATATTTAAATATTTAGACGTTTAAATTATAATTTCTTATTAACTTTTGAATACATTTTGTGATTCTCAGAGTAAAAAGTGAGATGATTATATTAGAGTCATATACGCATTAAAATAATTATAAAATCATAATTAAAATTTGTTAGCTACAAATGAACACAAGGTAAAACAAAAATGAAACTAAAATTCAATTTTTTTCATTCGTAAATTTACAATATTAAAATAATAAAATTAAGTTTTTGCAAAGTTGCCGAATTTTTTATTATTACATATTTATTATTTATATAATGACTAGAAGGACAATTTGGGAAGAAAAAATGCCACATCATTCAAAGTCAAAATTTTACCTTTAAATTCATTAATAAGGGGGGTAAGTGTTACATTTGTAACTTTAAGGGGGTAAGTGTTACCACCCCTATACTTTAAGGGTGGAAACTGTATTTAGCCCTTTTTTTTATTGAACGAAACAAAATTCGCTTTTACTAAAAGTGCTTCATTGCCTCTTTTATTCCTCCTAGAATGCATCGAAAATTTATTTATTTACATCATTACAAAAAAATAATAAAAAAATAAATAAAAACACCTGGTTGAGTGTGTCACTATTTTTATTTTCATGATTTTATCAAAAACAATGCATGGTTAGTTGCTTACACTATAACTCTCTCTCTCTCTCTCTCTCTCTCTCTCCTCTCTCTCTCCCTAAACCATTTTGTAGAGTCATTTTCTTTAAAAACTCTTTCACAATCACAACTCTTCGTTCTCTCTCTCTCTCTTCTTTTTATTTATTTATTTATTACCAACAATCTTGAATTTTTCCACATTGTTTCTTCAAAACATGATTTGGATTTAATTTCTTAAATTATTTGGCAAATGCATTCATGGGATTGTTCAGTTCTTTGTTGGGACATGATTCCAGAAGATTTATCAAGAGAAAAGATAGTGATGCAGGCGAAGCAGGTTTTTTTTTTCTTTTTTTTTTTTTTTGATTAATTTTTTTAATTTTAATTTTTTTTATTGGAGCTGTATGAATTTTTTACAGTATTTTTTTTTAACCCTGCATGTGAATTTTATCTCTGTAAAAAAATTCTCTAATTTCTCTTGAGAGAGAGAGAGAGTGAAAAAAAAATGAATGGTTTTGTAAATCTAATGTTTGCCTTTTTCTTGATACAGCATTGATTTCTAATTTTTCCCATAACCTGTAATTTGGATTATGCATTAATGACTATATTAATTCTTGATTAGTGACTACTTGTCATTTTTCAATTTTTGAGATTACATGGTGATAATGTGGATATTTATTTGCAGAGAAAAGGGGAAAACTAGAAACAAGATCATAAACTTTTTTTTTTTTTTTGTATTCGTATAATGTGCTTTTCCGGTTACGTTTTTTTGGTAGGTCGTGCGTTGGAAGAGCTCCGAAGCTCACTATTCAATGAGCTTCGGACTTCCGAAGGAGCCAAACGCCAACAACAACGTTTTTGCGGGCCCGTTGTGGCGATGACCTTCAATTTTATGGTTGCGGTTGGAATCATTCTCGGAAATAAATTGGTGCGTATGTTAAATGTATTTCATTCGTCGATTGGCGTTTTAATTAGTTGTGTCTATTGCAATTAGTACCCCGGTGTTATATCGAATTGCAACAAAAAAAGTCACCCATGGTAGTTAAAAAGAGTAAATTACAATCACCCGCAGAGGTAAGGTGTATTTATGAAGAAAAAAACCCTTCATTTTCCGCTAATTACATCCACCACTACATTTTATCTATTTCTTACATTAACACCCTTTTGTGGGGGTGGAGGTAAGAAATTTACAAAACTGCGGGGGTTATATGTAATTTATCAAAAACGAAGGGTTGTTTTTGTAATTATACTTTACCTCAAGGAGTTGGTTGTAATTTACTCAAAAAAAATCATAGGTGGTGTTTCGACAATAAAATAACATGGGTAGTTTATTAGCAATTCGATATAGCACAGGGGTACTAGTTGCAATAAACTCTTTCTTAGTTTCAGTAACAACAAACCGAATTAACTGATCTTATTATCTCTAATGAAGGTTATGGGGAGAGTTGGATTTAACTATCCAATATTCCTCACGCTAATCCACTACGTAACCGCTTGGATTCTACTCGCGATTTTCAAGGCATTCTCGTTGCTTCCGGTGGGCCCACCTTCTAAAACAACACCGTTCTCATCGTTGTTTGCTTTGGGAGCCGTTATGGCTTTTGCCTCCGGACTTGCTAATACTAGCTTAAACCACAATAGGTCCTTATTTCCCGAATTCGTTTTATCGATCTCCTTTACTTTTTACAAAAGTTTATTGCATTTAGTACCCCTTGTGTTTTATCAAATTTGCAAAAAATCCCCTATAATGTATTTTTTTGTAGCACGTATGCCCCTAAGCGGTGAGGTTTTTTGCTAATATTAATAGCACGAGGACTTCTTCAACAATTAGAGTAAACACAGGGGTGCTGAATGCAAATAACCCTTTTCTTGTCTCATTCTTCTCTTGTGCAGTGTTGGTTTTTACCAGATGGCTAAAATTGCCGTCACTCCGACCATCGTCACTGCAGAATTTTTTCTTTTCAGAAAGACGATTTCATTCAGCAAGGTAACTCCAACCATGTGTGTGTATATATATATATACACTAATAAATATCTATATAAAATAGTAGATTTTTTCAGAAGTGATGGGGGCCGTGGCCCCCATGACCCCTATGCTGGCTCTATGTAGTTTTATTATTGCGGAGATTTTTTACTTATAATTTCGCGAAAATGCTGTATGTAGGTTGTGGCTCTAGTTGTCGTCTCGTTCGGTGTGGCAGTTGCAACTGTTACGGATTTGGAATTCAATGCGTTCGGCGCGTGCGTTGCGTTTGCATGGATTGTTCCGAGTGCCATTAACAAAATACTCTGGTCCAATCTGCAGCAACAAGGAAATTGGACCGCTCTTGCGTAAGTTATTAACTAGATATTTAATTTATATATATATATACGTACATGCAAAAGATCAAATTGATCGTGAATCTTGATTAATATAACCATATTGTTATTACGAATAAATAAATAAAAATTAAAAAATTAAAATTGCTCGATTTGTATAGGCTGATGTGGAAGACGACGCCGGTCACAATCTTCTTCTTAGTAGCTCTAATGCCATGGTTGGACCCACCAGGCGTATTGTCTTTCAAGTGGGGCCCGACGAACACTTCCGCAATTCTCGTATCGGCGTTGCTCGGATTTCTCTTGCAGTGGTCCGGTGCTTTAGCACTTGGGTAAGAAAATTATATTTTGCTAAGTAGTCGGGGGTCATGGCCCCCCTTGCCCTATGCTGGTTTCACCACTGATTTGAAAATAAAATTAAAAAAACAATTTCGGTGTATTCGTGCAGTGCTACTTCCGCAACATCGCACGTAGTTCTAGGGCAGTTCAAGACTTGTGTGATACTACTCGGAGGATATTTGCTATTTGGTTCCGATCCGGGACTCGTGAGCATCGTCGGTGCGATTTTAGCTCTTTGCGGAATGTCGGTTTACACGTCACTTAATCTCAAAGAGTCAACCGAGAAGTCTACTAATCTTCTCCCGAGTCAAAATTTACCTTCCGTGAAACCCGTGAAACCGAAGAGTTCCGAAGATGAAGAAAAACCACTTGTCGAGGATAATTCGAGTGCTGTTTGATCTTCGAAAGACCATTCGATTTTTTTTTAACTACCCTTTTTGTAGTGAAGGCTTACAAATTAAAGCTTTATTGCTTGAGAAATTCAACTTTTTTGTTAGCAAAGTGCTTATTGATTTGGCAGGGCATATATGTTTCAAATCCAAGATTTTTCCTTTGTCCTATGTACAGAATTTTAATAGCTGAATATTTAAATACAATTTATAATTAATAAATAAGGAAATAATTGTATTTTTTTTATTATTCTGATTACAAGAGCTTAATTTGATCTAGAATAAATGAGATAATATTGCTGATAATTAGCATCGAATATCACGAAGGAGCTACGTATTTACGGTTTCATCTATGCTACATCCGATTAAGTATACATCAATGTAGCTATGTCGAAAAAAATCGAGAATCAACGACACAAGTTCGAAGCTAGGGAAGAACTAGTTTCTGCAATTGTATTATCGAAAATGCTTCGTCTTTTCTTATTTTCCTCCTCTTTTTCTTGGCGCGCGTAGTACTTTTGAGCATGGCTCGCCACTTGGGCCGCAGTTCGACTCTTGACCATAAATCTCGAAATGCTCTTCCAATCCCCTTTTCCGTATTTCTCCAATCCAATTAAAAATAACCTGAGTTTCATAATTAGGTGAAAAAAAAAATAAAAAAAAAAAAGGTTCAAGACTATAATAAAGTGGGGTTATTGCAATTAGTACCCCTCTGTTATATCGAATTGCTACAAAAAACCACACTATGTTATTATTAACAAAAGCCCCCTATGATTCAATTTGATTAGCACACAACTCCCTGGGGGTACTAATTGATAAAGAAATAAATTGTGGGGGGTTTTTTGTCAATAAAATAACATTTGGATGGTCTTTTAGCAATTAGGTATAAACTCAGGGGTACTAATTTATGTCCTTGATTATAATTTTGTGAATATTAAATCAAATAATCTGCTTTACAAAAAACATTTTTGATTTTACCTATGTTCGTCTTCGGTCCAGGGTCTAGCTACCTTTCTCTGCGGCGCTACCTGCTTCTTCTCCGATCTGTTAGGGCTTTTCCGAGACTCCGGCGATCGGAATCCGTCACTCTCGTCGTATTCCGGCAACTCAATCACACCCGATTCAATCGCCGCCACGTCATCCAGCAACACGGCGAAGTGCTGCTCGACTTCCGCCGCCGTCTTCGTCGCGATTCTGGCCGCGATCCTCTCCCACCGGTTGGGGCAATCGCCGGCGAATTCCACCAGTCCGTCTTCGAATTGCTTGTTTTCTTCCCAGGTCCACCTCGAATTCACCATCTCCGAATTTTTTTAATTTTTAATTTTTTTTTTTTTAATTTCAATTTTGCTGAGTTTCGAATCATGAACATACACACATTTGCGATTTTGGTGGATTTTATAGTTTTTCTTTTGGATTAAACTTTAAATTGCTCTGGATTACGTCATCCGTTCAAGGCAATTTTTGCTACTGAATTAACAAAATAATCGTAATTAATTAATTAATTAGTAAATTTTGATTTAGTTAATGCGAAAATCAGCAAGATTAGATTTGGTTACATAGAACTGATACTTTGTTGTTTTCTATAGATTATTCGAATTATATATTTATTATAATATGTTAATATAATCGGATTCAGATTCTTTTGACGTAATTTAGCATTTTATCTTGTAATTATATTTTATTAATATGCATAAAGAGCAAGTAGTGGTAAATTGGTAATATCGTTATATATACAATTCACAACATTGATACTGAATTATGATAATGAGTCAACTTTAAATTGACCAATCTTTAATTATTCATGTATGATATGATTGATACGGCCCAGATTGCCCGAATTCGGGCCTAAATAATAACACTTTCACAAGGCCCACCCCAATCTTATCCATTAACATTCTATAAAGTTGATCGCCACCCACCCACACGTGCAATTGATAGGTGATGAATGTGATTACATTTCGGTTGTCAGATAAATGGGACAGCCTGCAAAATAACATTAACCGACCGACGAACCTACCCCAATTGAGCAAACCAAAGAGACAGACAACGCTCGTCTTTAACAGACGAACACAGCTCGAAGTAGTCACATCCATCTCACGTGCGATTTGACCATAGACGGAGCAGGGGGCCACCACCCATTCCCTATAACATGTATAAATAAAATCTTGAGATATAAAGAGGAGACGCTCGGATATAAAAACAACACACACTTATCTTCACAAGATCTATATTATTTTTCCATGATTCCGTGATTTGATCGTCTGAATGCTAATGCCGAGAAAACTTCCATCCACTCTTTTGAGGTCTTTCAGAGACACGTGGGCTTCTTCTTGATTGGGCTTTCATATCCAATTTGTCCATTTGGGCTACATCATCAACCTATAATATATAAATTACATGATAATATTAAAAATCAGAAGTTTTAAAAATTGAAAATACAAAATCGAAAATTGAATTTCAACTCATAATATATGGATGGCCTCTTAAGCTGAAAGCCCACGTGAAAAGGCCCAAAAGGTACTTCATCTTCTTCGTTTTCTTTCTTCTTTTCTATTCTCTTTCTCCCCTCCGGTTCGCTGCCCTGCCCTCCCGTCCGATTCCAGGTAAAATCAATATCTGCAAATCGATGTGCCATAAGACCCATACATTTTTAGTCAATACTCTCTCTCTCTCTCTCTCTCTCTCTCTCTCTCTCTCTCTCTCTCTCTCATCTTCGTGCGCTAATTTCTGAATTAGGGGAAATCATCCCCGCCTGTTATTTGAATCAAAGTTTACCAGAAATTTGTGTTCTAACTCGCAGTAGAAAAATACCAGTTTTTAAAGTTGCTAATGTCGAAATTACATGATTTTTCTTTAATCTAAAAAAAATAACAATAAAAATAATAATTTTGTGTTCTCCAGCACAGTCATGTTACACCTGCTTTAAGTAATACATTGCTGTGTATGAAGGTTCCGATTGAATAATTATATATAATGGAAGAAAAAAAATATATATATTTATTGATCCTCTCTACAAGTTTATTTAATTTTATTGATCCTCTATACAAAATATGTCAAAATTGAATAATGTAAAATCTTTTATTTAATTTAATGTAGCTATTTTCTCATGATCAACGTTATAATTGTTTCAGGTTTATATCGTTTATCGGCATTGAAATGTCACTGAGTACCGTCACTGTTGCAAGTCCAGTTACACCGCTATTTACAAGTATGCTATCTCCGTATTTTACTCTCTTATAACAGCTTAGTAAATGTCATTTCTTCTTCTTATTATTATTAGTTTTTTTTCTTCGTGTTACGGGGTTCGGATTTGTTTGGTATTATTTCGAGGAGAGTCGGGCAATCGGCAATCTTCATGTTAAATTGTTGATGCATACGTATGGGCTTGTTGTTTTTGAGTTGTTCCAAATATTCTCGTATTAACTTTTGTGTCTCACTCAGTAATTTTATAATCTTTTGTTCCTTTTGGCTGGATAAGCTAAATAAACTTGTATGCTAATCTTCATACAGTAGATGTTGCTGTATTGAATTAGTAGGCGTATAATTTCATTTAGATGAAACTTAACTGAAGTGTTTCTACAGTATAAAAGATGGCAGATAATACTTTATTTGGTCTAAAATATTTCTCTGAATAATCTGCACTTTTTTTCTCTGAAGACAATAAAACGAATCTTAATTTTCATAGCAATTTAATTTTGCGAGGATAATAAACTGAGAGAGGAGCTATCGAGAGTAAAAACGAGATTTCTTCCGTTATCTTCCATTATGCAGTATTTCATGTTTGTGCTGTTGATATTTCCATTAAACTTTCTATCACTTTATAAAATGGTTATTTGGATCCTATTTTGTATTTTACGGTGTTGGACCTTATATAAAATCGATTTTTTTTTCGACAGTTCCGTCAAGAGATCCTTGTTATAAGCTTAAGAAGAATGTTTGGTCAAACCAAGTCAAAGTTAAGCCACTTTGCGTGCAGTTAAAACCCTTTGAACGGAGGGGCCTCACTCCTTCCTATAGAGCGAAACACGCTTCTTTAATATGTGCTGCTGCTCTGGTAATTTTTTACATTCTATGATTTTTGTAAACACGGTCGTAAACACGTTTATTATTCGGTACTTAGTATGTGACTATATCTTCTAGAAGCGTAACCTATTTTAATAATTATTTAATACTTCAACTGCAGAATGCCACGTGTGCTGCAGAGCAAACTCAGACAGTAACACGACAATCGTCTACCATTACGGTCGCACCTATCCAAGGTAATTAATTTCCGTCTTTTTTTTTGTTCCATGTGTGCTTCTCATATAATATAGGACATATATTTAGGCCTTGTTTGGTTCCTAGGATAATATTAGCCGAGATAAGATTAAATAATCTTTTATGAAACCCGAACTGTATTATTGGACCATACGATGTCCAAAAAATAATTTTCGGGTGACCCGAAAAATTATTTTGGTTTACCGAACATCAAACAAAGTCCAGATATTTAATTAATCATGGCTAATCTCCTCCAACCAAACGAGGCCTAAAGAGAATGACGAAAAATCACAACTTTGGACAGATGCTAAAATAAAACTAGCTAATTCTGAAAACTCTATTGACTTGTTTGATGCTTGGGGTTGACTTGCTAGGAAAAGAGAAGTCCCCGGACCTTGATGATGGTGGGTCCGGACTTCCTCCACGCGATGATGACGGTGGTGGCGGCGGCGGTGGCGGTGGTGGCGGCCACTGGTCTGGAGGTTTCTTCTTTTTCGGGTTCCTTGCTTTCCTCGGTTTCCTAAAGGATCAAGAGAGTGGAGATTCGTACGGGGATGAAAGGAGAAGGAGATGAAATATTATTTCATGTACATTAAAACTTTCTTTTTTTATTATTATTTTTGAATTAATTTATAGAGATTTAAATGTATAAAGTACTATTTTGATAGGAGTCCAGATTGCATCACATTTACATGCTAATTGATTTCATTATTCTTAATAGCTTTTATCAATAGCCAATAAAAATCCATGTACTAGATCAATAGTGATTTTTTTTCCAATATGACATATATTTAAATTTTTTTTTTTTTCAATAAATAAATATAAACATATATTCAATAAATTGAAATTGAAATATAAGCAAAAGGAGGCGATTTAAAAGGAGGGAGGAGGGGTAAAAGTGTAATTTCGAAGAATTGAATAATGTTTCACAAAATGACAGCCCATAGCCCATCAACATCGTCATGCTGCCAACCGTCGAATTATTCCGCGATTTCAATTTCTCAATTTAACAAAAACAATTTCTTTTTCTTTTTATTTATTTTATTTATTTATTTTATCTCTCCAAGCCAAGTGTTTTACATCAAATTTCAGATTTTCATGCTTGCCCACCTTCTCAATTTCATAGCAGCGAAAAACTCCATCTTGATTTCCAGCTTTCTCGTCTAGGGTATGTTTGGCATCTAGATTTCTACAGAATAATTTTTTGGTTTGTGATTTCAGATTATGTTCTTTCTTTTGTTGCTAGATCTGTTCAAAAATTCGTTTTTTCTTCTGGTGTGTTTTTATTTAATGTGAAATCGAATCGGAGCTCGAATCATTCTCTTTGTGGTTCCGAATAGTGAATTTAATGTCGATTAGAGTTTTACCGTGAATCTGCTAAAAGGGTTTTTTTTATTTATTATTTTATGAATCCTGGAAAAAATATGTTCTCATGATGGAATTTGTTGGTTGATATATCAGATTGCAATCTGATTACAGAAATGTGTCTCGTTCAATTTTGGGTTGCGGGTTTGGCTTTTGGTAATAGATGATATCGAAATGTATCTGTTTCGATTTTGGATTGTGGGTTTGGCTTTTGGTAATAGATGATATCGAAATGTATCTCTTTTGATTTTCGGTTGCGGGTTTGGTTTTTGGTAATAGATGATATCAAAATTTATCTCTTTCGATTTTGGGTTGCGGGTTTGGCTTTTGGTAATAGATGAGATATCGAAACGTATCTCTTCGATTATGGGTTGCCGGTTTGGCTTTTGGTGATAGATGATATCGAATGTACATCTCTTTCGATTTTGGGTTGCGGGTTTGGCTTTTGGTAATAGATGAGATATCGAAAAGTGTATCTCTTTTGATGTTGGGTTAAGGGTTTGGCTTTTGGTAATAGATGAGATATCGAAATGTATCTCTTTCGATTTTGCGTTGGGAGTTTGGCTTTTGGTAATAGATGATATCTCTCCTACCTTATATTCAATTTCTTCGTAATGCTCAACGTAACGGCATTAAAATCTGAACGAATCTTGAAAAGTAAGAAATGTGAAGCACAAAACTATTTGCTCGATCGAACATCACATGAGTATAAGTATTTACGAGTTCTCTCTTTCAATGTAATCTGTAATCTGAAAATCGCGTGAAGGGTCATATGAAAATCTTAATCTTAATTCTGACATTTCTGTGTGACATTGTGATCTCAGGTTCGTGTACGTGAATTAATACTCGAGTATAAAACACCAGAAAAATTTGGGTTTCTGTCTGACACCATCAATAGAGAATGATCGGAAGGTTCTTGCTTATTTCTTTTCGATATAATTTTCATAGATTTCTGAAGCGCGCTGCCGAATAAATGTTCTTTTTTATTCTTGGGCAGATATGGAGTATAATAACTTGCATGTAATACCATGGTGCAGTGCTTAGAGGGGATCAGGCATTTATGTGCTTCGGTGCTTCAGTGTTGTGAACTCGACAGACAACCGAGAGGCCTAGATGATCCAGAAATTCTTGCTCGAGAGACCGTGTGTATGCTCTTACCTCTCCACACTTGCATTATTCAATCCCTAAATCCCTTGCCCTAAACCTAAATCGAAGAATGATCAGTAAAAAAATTATTTAATTCTGGTTCGGGTGAAAACATAGGCTTGCATTTAAAGACTTCCATCAAATTATTCCTTATTAAAGCGTTTTGTGGATATAGTTCTCATAACAACGAAACGAACACCATGAGTTCTCGGATATCTTATTCGGCCTGCTTTTTTTCTTTTTGTAACTAATTTATATAATATTTCTTTTTGTGCAGTTAGTGTAAGTGAAATAGAAGCACTTTATGAGCTTTTTAAGAAGATTAGCAGCGCTGTGATTGATGACGGGCTGATCAACAAGGTTCCGATTGCGAATATGATCTCTATATATGTTTTCCTTACATTGATATCTGCACATGGCATAAATATAACTCTTCGACTGTTGTTTTGCAGGAGGAATTTCAGTTAGCATTGTTTAAGACGAACAAAAAGGAGAGTTTGTTTGCTGATCGGGTACTACCAATTTCTAATCAATTTTTTTCTGTTATTCTTTTTCGTGTAAGTTTCTCGGACATGTTAAGGTAAACAAGCCGCTAATCAGGGATTTTAACACGGAAAAAATCATGTTAACACTTATTATTTAATGAGTGTTTTCTGAGTTATTTAGCATGTCATGTGGTATTATCACATTCGATATAAGTCGGTATGTGTGAGTTTTAAACAAATGATGCAATCGCATCTATGCATGCATGTATGTAAATTAAACTTGTCGTAGACTGTAGCCTTTTAAATCTTATAAATGTACCGTTACCATATGGTTATAAACATTCTAGAAGTAGAATTTATTGTAGCTTGGCCTTACATTTTTCAAGAGAAAAGTTTGGTGTGCGTGTCTCGTTTTCATTTAGAAGGATTCCAAAAAGTTACTTACTCAAGTCTTTTCTCGTTTAACCAACTCTCGAAACAGGTATTTGACTTGTTCGACACAAAACATAATGGTATCCTTGGCTTTGAGGAGTTCGCCCGTGCACTTTCTGTATTCCATCCAAACGCTCCTATTGATGATAAGATTGAATGTACGTTGATTTTCAATTCAATAGAATCAGTTAAATATCTCAAATCACCAATAGCATTATAATTTATAACATCTTCATCTTCTCCCACTGCAGTTTCTTTTCAATTGTATGATCTCAAGCAGCAAGGCTTTATCGAGAGGCAAGAGGTAACGATTAGATTCTCATGCCGATTATTTTGATTCTGTGGAAATATAACTTTGTTGGTCCTGAAAATCTAGCTATAACTCGAATACATGTGCCACCTGTGTTTCTTTTGTAAACTGTGTAATTTTGTATTGGATGAATCTGTACGAGTAAGTAGTAGCATCTAAATAAACTAGAACATTCTGCATACGGGTTTGAAATTTCAACGTACCAGATATTTTAACTTGAACCTTTTCTAAATAATGTTTCTGGTATGTTTAATCTTTGGCTTCTAATTGGCAGGTAAAGCAAATGGTGGTTGCTACTCTTGCTGAATCGGGTATGAACCTGTCTGACGAAGTTATTGAGAGCATCATCGATAAGGTTGTTTATCCCTATCTTATTTTTATTTTACTCTCCTCTTACGTCATCTGCTTAAAATAAAAAATAAAAAATAATTTAAAAAAAAATCACCCACTTTGGGAAAGATTGGCAATATGCTCCCTGTAGACGAGGAGAATTATTTTATCTTCCAAACCTGTGATTTTTGAGTTTGGTCTTAGTAAGCAATAACCAAAGATACAGTGCTACTGATTCCAATAAAGGAAACGGACATTTGTTTGCTTTTGCTACAAAAAATAGAAATTGCTAGAAGTAATGATATCGTTTTGACAGTGTAACTCTCTCGTTTTCTTATCAGACATTTGAGGAAGCGGATACAAAGCATGATGGGAAAATTGATAAAGAAGAATGGAGAAGTCTAGTTTTGCGGCATCCGTCGCTTCTGAAAAATATGACTCTCCAATATCTCAAGTATGTTCTCTTGCAATTTATTCTTTACAATCGGTCTTACTTACACTACTCTTAATATCACGTACTTCATAATCATTCTGAAACACTACTATAGTAAATGCCAAGATGATGTTTGTCGTATTGTATTTAGGTGTTAAAATGACAGAAGTACCCTCAGTATTATCAATTTTCTTGACTTGATACTAATTTTGTTTCGTAACTTGTTTCTTACTCAAACAGGGATATCACAACTACATTCCCGAGCTTTGTTTTTCATTCAAGAGTTGAGGACACCTGAGCATGGAAAGTTCGATTTTAGCGTCGTTTGCTTGTTTGTAAATGTTGGTTTGCTGCTTCTATTTATTATTGTTTCAATTGATTTTTCTCCGTTTATTTGGAAAAACTATGTCGTTTTGTGGACAATAAGTAGGTTTTGGATTTTGTTGGGTTTTCGTTTTTGCCTTTTGCGATTGAGGATTGTAATTTCATCAACAGTGTTTTTAAATAAGTCACATTTGCTTATGCCTCCATAAACTCAGTTTTGTACATGGTCGTAGTCCCCTTGTTTACATCTCTCAACGATTTGTCTGGAAAATAATTTTCCCCCGCAATGATTTCTAGGACATAAAATTTAGGTAGTGGATCAGAGTGGAGGTTGCCTCCGATGTTCTTCCTCGCCCGAAAAGTATTCGATCCAACCTAAGGTATAACCAAAGTAGATTTGTCTTTCGGGTCGCTTCTTACACCTATCCGTATCTATCATCGGAAACAAAAATGAATGGCAAAGTTCTTTAATTGTTGGGTAAATTACGGCCACCTCCTGAGCTAAGGTCAAATTACCGGGGGGAAAAAGAAACCCCTCTTGTTTTCGTAATTTGACCCTACCTTATAATGATATGGTTTTCATCTTTTGTACTGAGGTTTTTTCCTGTGATTCCCCCCACCGGCAGCTCTTACTATGGAAGTTTCATCACCACTTCCTTCTAGTTTTTTCCTGTGAGCCACTTGCTTTGTCAGGAAATTCTTGAAGATTTGACACTGATTAGTGGTTGAAGATATGAAATAACACTACTTCAACTCGAATTAAATGTCATTCCCATATTTTTGATTAAAATCCAAACAAATTTTAAGACTTGTGTTTGCTTATCAAATCCAAGAGCAACACAAGAAAGTCTGGCCGGCGAAAATTCCACATCAATAACTTACAGTTCAACAGCTGATGAAACTGTCGAACAACCACACCAATTAATCATAAAGCTAGAAAGCTATGACGGAAGACACTTCGCATCAATTGCATCGACCATGTAAATTACTCCGCAATGTAAACCCCTATTTAATCAACATATTCCAGATTAGAACAGTAGTCATCAGACCAGGAAAGAATGATCTGCATAATAGAATTCCACAAAACACTGCAATCTTAGAAACGTAAGAATAATACTAATTACCGATACTAATCAATTCGTAAACAAAACCTACTTAAAATGCATATATCAGATAGGAACCACAAATAGGAACCACCAAGTTCTACTCAGGCATTCAAAAAGAAAAAGCTAAAACCATAGAAATACTCCAAAAACAAAATTAAAAAAGAAAAACAAGTAACCATCGTTTTTAAAGACACGAAACCAAAAACAAAAGACAACAGACATAGGAATTAGTCGACTTCCTCCATCTTGCTGCCCTCAGCATCAGCATCAACCTCCTCCAGAGCAGGCATGTCCACATCAGCCTCACCCGACTCGTCGTCATCAATGCTCAGACCAAGCTTCAACATCCTGTGAATCCTGTTCCCGAAGGTGTTGGGCTCGTCCAAACTGAAACCAGAAGTCAACAGAGAGGTCTCGAAAAGCAGCATCACCAAATCCTTCACAGACTTGTCGTTCTTGTCGGCATCAGCCCTCTTCCTCAGCTCCTCCATAATCGGATTCTCGGGATTGATCTCCATGGTCTTCTTGCTCGACATGTAACCAGCCATGCTCGAGTCCCTCAAAGCCTGAGCCTTCATGATCCTCTCCATGTTTGCGGTCCAGCCGTACTCTCCAGTCACCAAACAGCAAGGTGAGTCAACCACGCGGTCAGACACAATTACCTTCTCGACCTTGTCGCCCAACACATCCTTGATGACCTTGCACAAGCCCTCGAACTTCTCCTTTAGCTCTTCCTTTTTCTTCTTTTCATCCTCGCTCTCATCAAGCTTCAAACCTTCCTTGGTCGCAGAAACAAGCTTCTTTCCCTCGAATTCCTTCAATTGTCCCACAGCGTATTCATCAATGGCGTCAACCATGTAAATAACTTCGTATCCCTTCTTCTTCAGCCTCTCGAGGAAGGGGGAGTTTTCGACAGCCTTCTTGCTCTCGCCGGTGATGTAATAGATCTCATTCTGTCCTTCCTTCATTCTTGTAACATAGTCCTTCAAGCTGGTCATTTCATCACCGCTCTTGGTCGAGTGGTACCTTAAAAGCTCAGCAATCTTGGTCTTGTTCTGGGAATCTTCGTGGATTCCGAGCTTGAGATTCTTTGAGAAAGCCTCGTAGAACTTGTTGTAGTCCTCCTTGTTCTCGGCAATCTCAAAGAAGAGCTCAATGCACTTCTTGACCAGGTTCTTGCGGATGACCTTCAAGATCTTGTTCTGCTGGAGAGTCTCACGAGAGATGTTGAGTGGCAAATCCTCAGAATCGACTATACCCTTGACGAAGCTTAGGTACTCAGGGATAAGATCCTCACAGTTGTCCATGATAAAGACACGTCGTACATAGAGCTTGATGTTGTTGGGCTTCTTCTTTGTGTCAAAGAGGTCAAAGGGTGCCCTCTTGGGAACAAAGAGGACAGCTTTGAATTCAAGCTGTCCCTCAACGGAGAAGTGCTTCACAGCCAAATGCTCCTCCCAGTCGTTGGTAAGACTCTTGTAGAAGGCAGCATACTCCTCTTTAGTGATCTCCTCAGTTTTCCTCATCCAGATTGGCTTCTGCTTGTTCACCAAATCCCATTCGTGGGAGACTTCCTTGATCTTCTTCTTTTTCTTCTCGGCTTTCTCCTCCTCTTCATCAACTTCCTCAACCTTTCCTTCCTCGTCCTTCTTGTCCTCTTCATCCTCGTCATCCGAGATTTCCTTCTCTGTGGTCTTCTCAATCCACAGAGAGATCGGGTAACTGATGAACTCGGAGTGCTTCTTCACCAAATCCTTCAATCTGCGCTCTTCAAGGTACTCGAGCTGGTCCTCCTTGAGGTAAAGGGTCATCTTGGTACCTCTGCCAAGGACTTCACCGGATGTATCTCTGGTGACAGTGAATGAACCTCCGGCTTGAGACTCCCAGACGTATTGTTCATCATCATTATGCTTTGTTGTGACAACCACCCTCTCGGCGACCAAGTAGGCAGAGTAGAAACCAACACCAAACTGCCCAATCATGCTTACATCAGCACCGGCAGCAAGAGCTTCCATGAATTCTTTGGTTCCTGACCTGGCAATGGTACCGAGGTTGTTCACCAAATCTGAAATCAAAACAGATATGTACGAATATTAGTCCGGACTCAAGAAACCAAAGGTAGGAAAATCAAGTGACAAATACTGAAAGGAATCTTTGGAACTTACCAGCCTTGGTCATTCCAATACCACTGTCGATAATGGTCAGGGTGTTGTTGGTCTTGTCTGGGATGATGTGGATGAAAAGCTCTGGCTGAGATTCCAGCTTGCTCTTGTCGGTCAAACTTTCGAATCGGATCTTGTCCAAGGCCTAAACACAAAATGGAAGAACAAATTAAGGAAACAGTAGTAGCGTTGAGTTCAAATGTAACAGAAAACTTTCCCATTAAATCATAGAACACAATAACATGTTTACTACAGCACAACAATAAAAAAATCAGCACCATACACAACTGAAAATAATAGACCAGGCATTATACACAGTGAAATACAAGTCAAGGTCATAAACATCTACTTCGGATTGAATATGTACAAAAATACAAGCATGGAACATGACAGAACGTAGAAGTACAAATCAAGATCATAATCATCTGTTTTTATGCAGTTAGAAGATTTGATATCTTCCTTCTACAGTTCATCACAAAAGTAACTATTGATTTGAAACCCAAATAACTACTAAATGTGAGCAAATTCATGCAATCACATAAACATCCTAAATTATCTGATTACACTATTGAACAAAAACATACAGAATAACCATATCATAGCACAAAATCCGTGATCTCAGGTTGGCCATTTACCACATCCTTATACACTCAGTGAATCAATTTCTGTAACATCGAAGTTTTCAAACGCATCAACCCTAATATCTAAGAGCAAGCAAATTACCATTCACAATTAACCAACAAGGACGATCCAAACACATAACAGTAAAAAATACAACTTCATTTGAGAGAGAATCAAAACTCAGAATACGCACAGTCGTGAACACCGATCTCAAACAAACTCATACGACTGCAGAATATTCAAATCAAATCTGGATCTACAACAGATAAATGCTAAAAGAGGTTATGGAAGAGAGCTTACATCAGATGAGTTACTGATAAGCTCCCGAAGAAAGATCTCCTTGTTGCTGTAGAAAGTGTTGATGATCAGACTCAGAAGCTGGTTGATCTCGGCCTGGAAAGCAAACGTCTCGGCGTCCGCCATTGTTGCGATCTCTGAATTTCTGAAAATGCTCTTTCTAGAGAGAGAGAGAGAGAGGAAATGTAGAGAGAGAGTTAGGGTTTTGGGCAAAGAGGCTGAGAGAGGGAACGAATAGGGGAAGGTTTTATAGCTATTGTGATTAGGGTTTCTAGATCCTTCTATGGTTGCTTTTCTTTTCTGGATTATTCTTTTTTTTTTATTATTATTTATTTTTATTTTTAATTTGGTTTAATTTTCTTGCTTGGTGAGAAAAGTCATGTGTGGACCCCACCTGGTGCCGATCTAGACCGGCTTCTTCGGAACTACTAGACTATTATTGGGCCACCCGGTTCCTCTTTTATGGGCTAGTTGGTTGCTTCACATATTTGAATTTTACTTTAGGGATAAATTACAACCACATCCTCCGAGGTATGTTCAATTTACGAAAAACACTCATATAGTTTGGATAATTACAGCTACTCCTCAACTATGATTTTTTCTTACACCTCCATTTTTATAGTGTCAAGTTCAACATAATCATCTACATTTCGTGGAATGGGCTCCAGTTTGTACTTGTTTTGTGTAAAAATACATTTTGATGCACCATATTCTGATATATACAAGCCAAAAAACACATATTATGATCATCTTGCTTCAAAATGTAGGATTCGAATGGGATAAAATTGGTACAAACGTGATAATATTCAATATGATATCGAAGATTTCACAAAATTTGAAACCGCAAGGCTGGACGTGTAAGAAGATTTATAGTTAATGGTGGTTGTAATTACCCAAACAGGAGGGGGTTTTCGTAAGTTGTCATACATCAGGGGTGATGGTAATTTACCCTTTACTTTAGTGACACATTTGTTTTTACTAATCAATTTTCTAGATGTTTTATAGTTTATTTCCAATAAAATTATTTTATAAATTGTGTGTATAAGGAAGGTATACCTTTTCAGTGTCTTTTTTTAGGTGTGTAAACGAGCCGAGTTCGTCTATTTTGGAAGGCTCGAACTCAAACTCGAATATTTGTGCTTGAGCTCGACGAGTTAATTTTTTTTTTGGCTCGAGCTCGAACTCGCATGAGCTTCGGTGAACTCAACCTTTAAATAATAATTAATAATAATATTTTATTGTATAATGAATACAAAAAATAAGTAAGTAAGAAGCTTACGAGCTGTCGAACAATTATAATCGGGCTCGAGGTCGAGGTCGAGCTTTTGTCTGAATTCACAAGCCGGTTCAGCTCGTTTACCCGCCTTATTATCTTCCAACAAAATGACAAAAAGTGCATAATGCATAAGTTGAGGATCATATGATCAAACTATTATGCATAATTTGGAACAATATTTTTCATTCTAAATTTCAAAAATTCGATTCTACTTTATTTTTATCTGAATTGGAATATATACGAGATTCTGATTTTCGATCCAATTTCAATTTTCGTATATTACACAGCACTATCGGTATACACTTCTTTATAAATATATACATTGTGCCCGCTAGTTGCCAATACCCTTTT